TGTCTCTACTGGTATGTCTTGGCGATGGTGGTGATAATTGGTTCTGTCTCACGGTTAATATCTATTTTCATCGCTAAACAACGGTATGTTGACTCAAAAAACATGGGAACAAGGCTGAGACATTGTAGGATAAAGAGAAGAGATGCTGGGGTCAGTTCGGATACGTCAATCTCGACGGTAGAGAAATTGGTTGATGCGCCAAAGGCTCTTGTATCAAGAGTATTTCGACTTCCAGTCCGGTCAGCAACGTTGCCAGTTCGCAAGACAATTGTCATTGTCGCGTACACAGCGTTCGTGGCGGGTCTCGTAACTTACAAGTCCATCCACCACGATGCCAATTTCCACGAGCGCATTGCGTTTCGCGCAGCTTGGATAACTGCGACACAGACTTCACTACCCTTCCTCCTAGCTGTGCGCGTCAACCCAATTGGTCTGTTACTTGGAACTTCTTACGAGAGGCTCAATTGGTTCCACAGATGGGCGTCAAGGGTCTTCTTCGCAAGCGCAACCATCCACGGCGGCTTCTTCGCATGGGAATGGCTAGCCGCCAGCTTCTTCTGGACCGAGGTCAAGACCGTCAAGATGGTACTACCGGGCATTGGAGCGTGGTTCATCTTAGCTTGGACGGTTGTGTCGACGCTGCCCTTCTTCCGACGTATGAAGTACGAACTCTTCGTGGTACAGCATATCATCTCAGTCGTACTTCTTCTGGTCTTTTTGGTCCTGCACGTTCCAGACCATCACCTCTTCAGCATCTGGTGCGCAGTGGGCGTTTTTGCATACGATGTAGTGACACGCTCGGCGAATCCGATCTGGCGGAACCTGCGGCTTCGGGTTTCGGCGAATCCATCTGTGCGATACGCATACGACGCCAGTATTCAAGCAGTCGACGACGAATTAACCACCATAACTATTCGAAACGTTGGGTTCAGCTGGAAGCCGGGGCAGCATGTTTTGATCTGGTTGCCGACTTTGCGATGGGAGACACCGCATCCGTTCACGATTGCTAATATTCCGGATTCTGAAGGGAAGAGTCAGAGTCAGGATATCCAACTTACGATCAAGACGAAGACGGGATTGACGAGGGATCTTAATGATTGGGCGAGAAGAACAGGGCTGAGGGGTGATAATGGGAGTGCGAGGGTTATGCTTACAGGGCCTTTTGGCGCGGCGCCCAATTGGAAGCAGTATGAGAATGTTGTTCTTGTCGCTGCGTCAACTGGAGGATCGTTCACCACGCCCGTTCTCGAGGCTTTACTTTCGACGCAATCGCCCGGGTGTGTTCGCAAGATCAATGCTTTGTACATTGTTCGTCGGAGGGCGCATGCGGAACCTTACCTTCAGCATATATCAAGTGTGCTGTCGAGGGCGAAGGAGATGGGAATCTCTGTGAATGTCCAAGTTGCTGTCACGAAGGGCGCTGGCACTGTCTCCGATGCAGTTCTTCGTGATGAGGCGAATGCAAGTCGCGAGAGATTGATCGAAGAGCCCACAAGAGGCCCAAGTGTTGAATTGGAGCGCTTCTCGATAGACTCTAGTGCCTCTTCGGAAAGCGGCAGGGAGGAACAGCTGCTGAAGGAGGAGATGGACTTCGATGGGGCGCACGCTTCGGCTATTGAGCACACAGAGGGCCGACCCGAGATCGCGACGTTCATCAGAACGGCGGTTGGGAGTGTTCCTGGTAACGTCGTTGTCGCTGTGTGTGGCGGTGATGCGATCGAGAGGGTCGTCAAGACGAGTGTCGCATTGATGAAAAGGGAGAGGAGAAGGGATGGAACAGGCGTTGGGGACATATACTTGCATGTGGAGCGATCTGATATTTAAGCGCAGGTAGTTTAATGTTAATTTGTATCAACGATTCAACGATGCTTGACTCCCAAGCAATAGGAGGCTCCTGGAGAGGTCCTAAGACCTCTTCTAAGTGATGATAAGCCTTGGGTAAATTGAGTACATGTCACCAAGCTTTGAGACGAGCCTATTTGTGATCCTGAATTAACATGAGGAGCTTTCTTGCTCCCTGCCAGGTTGACCTTGGTGGATAGTTCATCGCCCGGCCTGAATGTTAGCCATCGCCAGTTCCATGAGGTAGCCCCAGAGTTCTATCCTCAGGCCCCAGGCCTTCCATGACGGCTGAACTCTGAACGAGCCACTGGCACCCTTATGTGCAGCCGCGCGAGCTGCGAGGGCATCGCAGCTGCCACTGCCAGAGCAGCAAGATGAATCATCTCCCCCCTGAACAATATCTCATCACCACAACAAGACGGGAGGATCTCAAACTTTTACTCTTCTCCCCCCACACAAACATCTCCTTGGAGTTTTATTCTTCACAAACCACCACAATATACAACCCTCATCAACACAAGAATACACTACACCCAGCACAAACATCCTTCGCTGTAGCAGCTTGTCATCATGTCTACTCAGCACAACTACCTCGAGGACGACGATGACTTCTCGGAGTTCTACAACAACCCTCTCTACAAGCGCGTCTCTGACTTAACCCCCCACGAGCGTAAGAATGCTTGCCCACCTCCCCCCCTTCCTACTCCTCGTCGAGAAAATGGCCCTAGATTTGTCACCCGAAAGCGCTCTCCTCGTCAGTCATCCCCTCGTCTGCCATCCCCTCGTCTGCCTTCCCCTCACCCTCCCTCCTCAAGCAGGGACGCCGCTGCTGTGAGAGCCTCCATCCGAAGACACTCCTTCACAAAGCCTCGACAGACCCCAAACAAGGATAATGCCCCCGAGCCAGAGGGCGCCCATTCGCGAACCCTCCGCTCACCCGCCGATCACGACTTCCAGCAAAACGTCGCCCGCGTCCTCGGCCCTGAGCACGTTGACAAGTACGAGAACTGTACCGACATGGCGGAGAATGCCAAAGAGGAGCTTGAGGACAAGCCTGAAGGAAGCCATCGACTTGGACGTCCCTGGACCAAGGAGGAGTTTGACAAAGCTGCGAGATTGACGGAGTAGGGAGTTGATGAAGCCACTGTCAAGGCTCTCATCGGGTTTCCCGGTGACCCGCTCACGGATAAGGTCGAGAAGGAGTTTTAGGAGATTATGGACGATGAGAAGATGATTTTGGAAGGATACGAAGATCTCGAGGAGGGCGAGATACTGGAGGAGGGCGAGATACTGGAGGAGGGCGAGATACTGGAGGAGGGCGAGATACTGGAGGAGGGCGAGATACTGGAGGAGGGCGAGATACTGGAGGAGGGCGAGATACTGGAGGAGGGCGAGATACTGGAGGAGGGCGAGATACTGGAGGAGGGCGAGATACTGGAGGAAATCGAGATCGTGGATCGGAAGAAGCCAAACTCACGGAAAATGGTGACCAGGGAATGAAGCGGCGAGGATCATGATGCGGATCTGGCAGGTGAACGGCAGGCTTAGCAGCGATCAGGAGCGCTCAGCCAGGAGTAATTGATGCCAGCTTTTACAATAGCTCAAGCCAGACAATTGATCTCGTAGTTGACCCCAACTGTACGTGTTATCGAGAGCGGCGCTTGCATTGACTAATCTAGCTCAAGCTTTGGACAGGAGAGTTTCGATTGAGCTGTGAATGACACTCAAATGTTTGGGCTGCTTCGCGAATCACAGCCCTCTTCTTGGTGCGCTGAATGAACTCGGGAGAATTAATAGCCGTGAGTTTCGTATCGATTGGTAGCTTCATCACAGTCGAAGTGGAATTTCGGTAGCATGATCGCCTTCGAATCCTCCCCGATAAGACACGAAGTGAAATTAGCCGTTGATCAGAATGGGATATGCAGTCCTCTGGTTCCACTGAATCACTCTGAACCCCCATCACAGCGATAGTTATTCATGGGCAGTTAGCTCACAGGAATAGACGATATAAGGAGACTTTGGGGGCCGTAACAATGTGCTGAACCATCAACACAAGAACCACACTACAACAAAGACACTACATCATCACAACAAAGTCATTACAACGAACTCAAGCATTATGTCTGACCAACGAGATCTTTCTGAGGATGCCCGAGTCCTTGCAAAGATCTACAGCACCCAGTTTTACCGACGAGTGGATGGACTTGCCAGGAATGCCAGCGGTGTTGTCTACGACCCCAGCCGTGGCCCTGCTCCTCCATCCCCAGAGCTCAAACCATTCCGGCCTGCACCGCCACGACCTGATACTCCCCGCCCATCCGGACCTCCATCAATCGACATCCCTGGCAAAGCCATCGTCAACGAGAACTTTCAAGAAAACGTCCGGCGGGTCCTGGGCGATGGCTACGTAAACTCGTGGAGCAGCCTGGGAGACATGACGATGAGGTGCATTGACTTTGTGCGAGGCAAGAAACAACGTGGCCGATCGGACAAGATGTGGGGTGTTCGTGAGATTCAGATTTTCGCTAGACTTTCGGTCTGGGGCGTTCACAAGCATGTCATTGAGGCGCTCATTGAGTGGCCGAGGGAGTGGTTCACCCCTGAGGAGGCACCGATCTACTATGCGACTATCGAGGATGAGTTGCGGTATATTCCTGTGACGCCTCAGCAGGCCCAGGCCGATGCTCAGCAGGCCTCGAGCTCAGGACAGTGAGGGAGGTGTTTATTGGTACTCGATCGTGGGAAATGCTTGGTATAGGATGACGATGATGGCCTATGGCTTAATACAGTTGGAGAGGAAGACATAGCTCTAGCTTAATGAGATGCCGGAAAGGAAGATAGACAATCAGACTGTTTTTTTTGAATTCAGACAACCTGCTTCCAGACATGCTCGGTGCTTTCACTGTGGCGACCTCTCGCAAGTCAGCTACTGCTTGCTGATTGACTTGCACAACCCTGGCGCGAAGAGGCCGAAGACCTTTGCCTAGGTACTTATTGGACTGCAGAAATTACTCATGTAAAGAATGAAAGTCATGGATAGACTCTAACTTGAATTCTCTACTGTCTATTAATTCCGCGTTCCCCCATTTACTGATCGCTGCTTCGCTAAACCACAGAACGAACTCTCCCTCCAGGGACCAATATCTTGGTACGTGGCCTTAACGGTCTAAACCATCCCGGTTCGACTTGTACGGGTTCTTGGTACCGTTACCAACACTCCTGGGTCCCTCTCCTCGGGTACGATTGCTTGGCTCCCTATACCCAAAGTTGTCGAAACCTCCTAGCCCGTCTATCTCCCCCAAGGTATGCGCTTCCGTCTCATGTGACGTCTCGGTACTGTTACCAGCCCTCCCGGGTCTCTCCTCCTGAAGACGATTGTCTTGCTGCAAACTCCCGGAGTTCCCACGTCTTGCTGATACGTGAGTCACCCCCAAAGGCCCCGATATGTTCTCCCGTCCCCTATACGGATTCTCACTTCTCCCATACCCATTGTCGGCACTGCTTCCACCATCGTTGAATCGCCCCTCTTGGAACGGATCATATTGATGCTCCAGTATCCTCTCTTCATCCTTCACCCATCGGTAAATCGTCTCATCATCCCCGGTTCGAGCCTCTGCCAACGGTAGACCCAGCAGAGCTGGAAGGACAAAATTTGGTACTCCCCATGCTATTAACCTCCCAGCCGTTTCCACCTCTGTAGCATTCCAATGCCTTAGTAAGTGAGTAAATTCGCCGGCCTCAGCCCGATATAAACACCAGCCTATCATTGTCGACTTGTTTTTCCATTTGTCGTGAGCGATGGGGCCGAGGACGCGTCGCATGTTCTGATCCTAGTTCACATCGACTCGGGAGTATGGAAGAGGCATCTTTGATGATGCTGATGAATATGATTGTGGGATTTTCTTGTAAAAGATATGGCGGGTAATGTCGAGGATGATGGTGGAATTGAGTGCTTGTCTGGCTTGTCTGGCTGAGAGGGGTAGAACGAGGGAACCCATCGTGCCTAGATCGCACTTGCTTGGTCGACGGAAGTCAACATTCCGAGATTGAAGCAAGTCCCAAGGTCTATCGAATCTACAATGAAACAGCCCAAATTTGAGGTGCTGAGATCATCTTGCCATTTAGGATAGGATAGAGTCGGAGTTTCTTCAGTACCTGGCTGCGTGAACTTGGCACAAAGCCTTTGGGCATTCAATTGGGGTGCGAAAGGCAATTGCTACCTCAGTATGCAAAGGTGACAAAGAGCAAGCTCGACATATTAAATGACACTAAAATTGCACAGGTGTTTCTATTACTGAGTCAATTCTTGGAATTCCCATACAATACCTGCAGTCTAATGCTGAACCTACCATTGAATGCGCTCTATACTTTTACCCCAGATCTTACCCTTGTCCCGACGAACCTAAGGGTATATTCAAGCACGGTGATTCGAGAATGATTGCCGACCAAATTTTCCGGGGTAAGATAAAACGGCACCGAGACGCTAGACCCCGGATGAAAAAGAAGCGCCGTCTTCAATAGGGGCTGTTCTAGAATTTCCATAGCTTGCGATCTGTATGTGTTTGTCTGTTTTTGGAGGCTGATAACCGAGTGATGCCGATGGTGGTCTGTGCTCATCTCGGCCGGGCGGAAGATGGGGCGCGCATGGGGTTTTGGAGAAGATGGCGGGGATCCACAACACGGACTCGGAGGTCCTCGACGGCGGAAGAGCCGGTGTACAATTACAGTTGCAAAGCTCACCGGAGAAGTATTTTGCATAATGGAGATTGCTAGAAGTAACATCAGGTCAAGAAAGTCAAGGTGAGAAGTTGTGAGGCCATGAGATAGAAAGTCAAGGATGCGTAGGGGAATCAGGCCACACGCATGTATTGCCTAATAGTGTCATGGCCGATGCACTCTCCTCTCGGCAACGTCGGTAGATCTGGAGATCAACTGCATCAGCGAGTTATTCTCTCTGCGTAGGTTGCAGTCTTGCTCCCTATGATATAACGGAATTGTAAATCCGGTGCTTGGCAGAACTTCCCTTCTCTCCGCGTTGTACCTCTTTGCTGAACCAAAAGGCACAACGGGACCTGGATGCAAATTTGGAGAAAGGACACGCTGAAGCGTCCACTATAACCGACGGGCCAACCACTGAAAGGGATGCATCCCCGCTCTGAAGACTCAGTGGGTTTCGGTGATCCACCCCTCGTCACCGTCACCCCGACGAACCCAATCCAATTGAGTGGCCTCCACTAACCAAGGTTGGAGCTGTCTTCTCTTTCTTCCTCTTATTTATCCTTTCCTCCTCCTCCTCTTTTTTTACTCTCCCTCTTTGAACGGAACAATCTCCCCTCTTTCTTCTCCTTTTTGTACATTTCGCTTTCAGATCATTATGGCTTCACCTGTTGCTTCTGCCGCCCTCAAGGCGCGCGTTCGCAATCCCGCTATGCTCAAGAAGCTTGCGCGACCTGAGGATCTGATGCACCACTTTCCCAATGGCTCTTACATCGGCTGGTCTGGCTTTACAGCTGTTGGATACCCCAAGTACGTTAACTCACCTCTCCTGCACAATTGACTGCTCTGTGATTACTCTGAGTGTCGAGTTTCAGACTCCGCACCGGCTATTATCGTCATTACCCGAGCTTGGCGCAAGCAGTGCAACTGACAATCGCAACAGGAAGGTTCCCGCTGCTATGGCCGACTACGTCGAGCAGAACAACCTTCAGAGCAAGATGAAGTACTCCCTGTTCGTTGGTGCCTCGGCCGGTTCCGAGACTGAGAACCGATGGGCTGCTCTCGACATGATCAACCGACGAAGCCCTCACCAAGTCGGCAAGGACATCGCCAAGGGAATCAACTCTGGACGAATCAACTTTTTCGACAAGCATCTGTCCATGTTCCCCTCCGATCTTGTCTATGTACGTAACCGCAAAAGCACAGAATGGAAATTTGTTGATTGCGGCCCCACCATTCGGCCTCGCTTTAATCTCCCACCGAGCTATTGCGGCTCCGATAAGACAATCGGCTGACAATTTGACTCTAGGGCTTCTACACAAAGGATCGATCAAACAGCAACCTTGATGTCACCGTCGTTGAAGCGACAGACATTCTCGAGGATGGCAGCTTTGTTCCCGGTGCCTCTGTTGGTGCTACTCCCGAGTTGATCCAGATGGCTGACAAGGTACGTCACCGCCAAGCTTGAACCCGCATCGCCAACTTTTAGTTACTGACAATTGCGCTTGGTAGATCATCATCGAGGTCAACACCGCCATCCCCTCTTTCAAGGGTCTCCACGACATTACCTTCACCGACGTCCCCCCCCACCGCACTCCCTACAACATCACCGCTGTCGAGGACCGCATTGGTTCCCCCTCAGTCAAGGTCGACCCCTCAAAGGTCGTCGCTATCGTCGAGTCCGATTACTGGGATGCCACAGGCCCCAACGCCGATGCCGACGAGTCATCTCGCCAGATCGCCGGCCACCTGATTGAGTTCTTCGAGCACGAGGTTGCCCAGGGTCGCATGCCCGCCAACCTTCTGCCTCTTCAGTCCGGTATCGGCAACGTCGCCAACGCTATTGTCGGCGGTCTCAACGAGTCCAAGTTCAAGAATCTCAAGGTCTGGACAGAGGTCATCCAGGATACTTTCCTCGATCTTTTCGACTCTGGAAAGCTCGACTACGCTACTGCCACATCAATCCGCTTCTCCCCCGATGGTTTCAAGCGCTTCTACGATAACTGGGATGCCTACGCCGACAAGATCCTCCTCCGAAGCCAGGCTGTCTCCAACGCTCCCGAGATCATCAAGCGTCTTGGTGTCATTGGCATGAACACCCCCGTCGAGGTCGACATTTTCGCCCACGCCAACTCCACCTGCGTTAGCGGAACACGCATGCTCAACGGTCTCGGCGGCTCAGCCGATTTCCTCCGCAACTCCAAGTACTCCATCATGCACACACCATCCAGCCGACCCTCCAAGACCGATCCTCACGGTGTGTCCTGCATTGTCCCCATGGTGACACACGTCGACCAGACTGAGCACGATCTCGACGTTATCGTCACCGAGCAAGGTCTCGCTGACGTGCGCGGTCTGTCACCCCGTGAGCGCGCCCGTGTCATCATCAACAAGTGCGCGCACCCCAAGTACCAGCCCATCCTGAGCCACTACTTCGACAAGGCTGAGTCAGAGGGTCTGAAGAAGGGTATGGGCCACGAGCCTCACCTTCTCTTCAACGCTTTCGACCTGCACAAGGCTCTGGCTGAGGAGGGTAGCATGCTCAAGGTCAAGCCTTGGTAAAGATTGGCTTTATCATAATGAAGGAGGGGGGAAAAGAAAGACAGCGGTTGTACTCATATGAATGACATTTTGCGTAGCTATTTTTTGGGATATGTTTTTGTTGGTCTACATAGATGATTTGGATGATGGTTCCACAGCAATTGAGCATTGAAATCTTGACCATCTGGACTGATCATTGAAGTGTGACATCATTGTTGGATTGTTTGTGCTTAGTGTAGTCGGGCTCAGTCCTGGTTATTGTGCTTTTGGCGGTCTCGGTCTAACGTATGAGAGAATGATAGAGCCTTTTTGACGTTGAAGGACATACTGGCTGATGTGGCGCCGAAACGTTTGAGGCAATCGCGAATATTACTCCCCTTTACTTGATGTATTAACGACCAGTCAGAGGCCCCTCGCACCCACAGGTCATCTACATAGTAACTTGCTAAAGACTTTAAAACATGACATCAAAGTCTTGATCCAGTTATCGATGATATCGCTATCAGCCAATGCAACCCACGGAGAGCACTCATGTGCTAAGAATGGCATATACATCTTGGCTGCCTATCTCTTATTAGCACCCCATCAGCGTCTGGGCATGCCTCTCCCTCTTCCACGCAAGGCGCGTTGGGCAGTACCAGGGGGAAGTGCGCCTGGCGCTTGCGGTTTTGCGCTTTCCTCATTCCGAATCGTTTCATCGACACTTAGGATAAGGCAACTAGCTTCAGTGGCGGCTTGAAGAGCATTGATTTTAACCAGCGCCGGCTCCCACACAAAGCTGTCCATCATATTGGCGACACCCTCATGCTCAAAATCCACCCCGGCCCAAATATTACCCTTATGATGTTCCACGCGAAGCTTATTGAGAATGTCCGTTGCATCAAAACCTGCATTATCACACAGTTGACGCGGAATGATCTCAAGTGCCTTAGCGAAACTCTTGATGACGGCCTGTCTCTTGTCCCGGATCTTGTCGGCGTAGTTGCTTAGGTAGGACGATACCTCCATTTCGCAGGCGCCGCCGCCGCCAACGATAGTGCGGTTGAGGATAGCGCGCTTCACAATCATGATAGCATCATGCAACGAGCGTTCCACCTCGGCGATGAATTGTTCGGCGCCGCCGCGCAAAACCAGGGTACACGTTTTGGCCTCAGAGCAATCTTCAAAGAAATTAAATCTCTCGCCGCCAATTTGACGTTCCTCAAATTTTCCGCAAGTTCCGAGGTGTTCAGGATAGATATCAGAACATGTCGACTGGAGCACAGCGCCGGTAGCCTGAATGATACGTTCCATATCATCGCTAGCAACACGACCAGCACAGAAAACATCCCGATCAGCGAAAAATTGGGTTGCTAAATCGCCAATAGGTAGCTTGCTGAGAACTATCTTGGCGCCTGTTTGATAGATGGAATCGAGCTTCTTGTAAATAATTTGCCATTCTGCATCAACAATGGCCTGATATTCTGACACTTGTTCGACTCGCACCTCTGCGTTATCCTTTTCAGCTTTAAGCTCGAGTTCCACATTGAGGCAGGCAATCTTAGGCTGAATAAATGTCTTAGGCTGTTGTTCGAAGCCAGCGTAAGAGAAGGTCTTCTTAAAAGCCACACCGTTAACAAATAGCGAATCGGTTAATGAGCCGCCCGGGATCTTCTTCACTCCAATCAACTTCTCATTAAGATCTTCCTGATCCAGGGCAAGAACAGCGTCAACAGCCATCTTAGTGAAGAAGTTTGTGTTACGCTTGATCAATTTGCTCGTCATGGCCGTAGCTGCTAGCTTGCTGAGAGTCTCTCTCTGATCTGCTGCGCTCGTATTGACCGCGATTTCCTTGATCTTATTAACTGCCATTGCTGAGGCTTTCCTTAAGCCCTTGATGATGATCTGCGAACTGATTCCATGTTCAACGTGGTCTTTCATTTCTTTGAGAATGCTACCAGCCAGCACCACCACAGAGGTCGTGCCATCTCCGACTTCCGCATCTTGTGAGCGTGCTATGTCGACGAGTATTCGTGCCGCAGGGTGAACGATGTCCAGAAGCTGCGAACCGTCAGGTTGGGCCCAGAAGCAATCGGACAGTCGGGAAACTGTACCTTCATCACTGTCGCGCCATCGTTCGTAATCGTCTGTCTGCCGTTCTCATCCACCATCAATAGATCGCCTCCATAGGGTCCAAGGGTGGATTTCAGGGTCGCTTGCACGGCAAGGCACGCGTTGATGTTAGAAATGATTTGGCCTTTGCCCTGAGATGTATCCGTTCCTGGCAAGCTCATGTCAGTACGCATACCAGTGTCATCATGGAGTTGTACCAACCCTCCTTGAGGACAATGATTGTCGGTGTTTGACCACCGAAGGACATTTTGGAGTATTAGGGAGTTGAAAGGGTTTGATATGGCATTTGAAGCTCAACTCATCTGGGAAGAGTTTTTGGGAGCTCTACGGTGGGGTAAGGTGCCCCCTCTTTGATCAGGCGTGACCGTTCACGTGACAGATAAGCTACGTACCTGACCGTTAGTAAGGTACCTAGGTACCTAGGTAAAGTAAGGTACTAAGCTACCTACGCTGGAGAGGGGGCGTTTTTGAATATCGGTCAGTGGACGGAAAAGACTGTCGGAGTGATTTTCCGTTAGCAACATCATGTTAGCCTAGTGCAGCAGGATATAAAGGGTAATAACTTGAACAGGTACCCCCCCAGAATCACTAAGGTAGACACCTTCCAGGTAGTAGGTACCTGATTCATGGCCAGAGACCCAACAACATAGGTACCTATGCAGCAAAGGAATGGAGCAACAAGTTCAACCACATTTATATTCTAGCTAGATATAATAACCAATCGAAATTGGTCCAACACTTTCCGGCAAGAACGAACAGCCACCAACTCCTACCCCAACTACAACACCACCATCTCGTCCGAATGCCAACCCCAACCATAGTTTATTGCCTAATACGCAACCTCTCTGACAGACACCTATCCGCCCTGAGTCGAACCCTGGGGTGAGTAGTGCCACGGCTGACCATTGGGGACGCGGCCGAATGTCCCATCCCAACTGGTAAATCGCCAACCAGGATGGGAACAATCATCGTTATGGCACCAAAGCTCATCTCCAATGACCTCCATCGACTCTGGGCAGTGAGGGCAAGGAGGCTTAGCCATTGCGAAGGTGATGGGAAGTTTCGAGTAGTTATGAGATAACTTGGGAGTATAAACTGGCTGCGCATATCACGCGTTAGGAACTTAGTTCGTTATCTTTGGGGAAAGCTGAGCTTAAAGGTACTTGCGTGAAGATCTGTTCAATACTTGGCTGTCTGGACAAGATGAATCACTGTTTGGGATGTGAGGATGAACAAACGGAATGTGTGATGCAGACGCTGCTTTTATACACAGATCTTGCATACTTGGGGGACCTGCAGTACTTGCTTCGGCCACACGGCCAACTCGTGATAGCCACTGTGATGTGTGGGATCGAGATACACGAATACAAAGACTTGTACCCTACGACCATTCATTGGCTCTTCTAACTAGGCAACAATGTGAAGAGCGTATCGCCTGGGATGATGAATGCGAGTCGAGGTGTTGGTGATAGCATCGTGAAGTGGAAAATGAAGGGGGGGGGGGGGGAAGGATAACTCATTGTTCTATGCAACTATTCACCAGCTTTGCCTGCTGTCATTCTCACTTGCTTGTCCACCAAAACCTTAGCGCCAAGGCGTTTTTGTTCCAACCAGCGAGGCATATCAGCCAGTGAGCCACAATCTCACAACGACCAGTTCAAACTGACAACAACAGGCTAAGTTCACATATCCAACGAAAACCCCCAATCAATGTCAAATACAACGGAAAATTTCAGCCGCTGGGCTCTCGTATCATGTCTTTATGGCCCCGGCACCTTCTGGAGCTGGCTCATCATCGTAGCCTCCGTCTTTATAAGCTGGACCATCAACCCAGCCACGGAACGTTTGGACTCCATCACAAACGACACAATCGCCGCGCTTACACTACCTGTAGTCGCAGCTGTAGATGCACTCTACCAACTCGCCAAACATGATCTACCTGATCGTCCGCGGTTGCTTTTGAGCGATTCACCAGAAGATATCCAACTCGTCGCTGCGCTTGAGGCCCCGCTTGCTATTTGCGAAGTCTACGTTGTGCTGGCTATTTTCCTACATAGCGCTGCGTCGAGGCGATATCAGTGGAAGAGGGTGGGTTGCATTACTTTATCGACTCTTTTGTGCTTCTCGCCGCAATTGGCTATCTTCTTTACATACCCTGATCTTCCTGACTCAAGAAGTACTTTTGCTCGACCATTTCTCTTCAACTTTGTTCTTGCGCTGGGCTTCATATCGGGGATCATGGCTATCATGACTGGTGTATCGATAATTCGCACAGTTGTTGTCACCATGTATCGAAGAGCCAAGCCCCCTAGCACTGAAGACCAGGACGTGTCGAAGGAAAGACGCAGTAGGTTCGAGAAATGGTCGGATATCTTTGCCTAAGTTCTCATCGCAAGTATCATCTCCATCGTCAAATATGGGTTTGTTGGCAACACAATGGCCTTCGCTGCGGGCGTGCTCGGATATCAGACTCGTATGATAATATTTATGCCCAAGAGTAACGTCTCTCTTACGGACTTGGATCAAATTGTTGCGCTGGCTGGTGGAGAATTTACGCTTTTGTTCAGTATTTATGATGCTGCAAAGGGGTGGCGATCATCCGCCCGAACTGGAAATGATAGTTAGGCCTGTGCAGCTCCTCATATTGATACAGTCTTTAAGTGCTTTCGACGTTCTCAGTCTATAAAGATAGCATTGACTAGTGCTCGGGCTTACATGGGATCTAGGGGCCAAAACTCTATTTGACTGGGTGATATATAAAACGTCACTGCTGACAGAGGCCCAGCCTTAAATCTTATTCTTTCATCCTCCAAATTATTAAATTTGCAGTAGGCTTCTGAGATCCAAGCAACAATGAAAATTTATGACGCCCCAGCATCCAACCCGATGGTAGTTCGCCTCTTCGTACTCGAAAGAGGTGGAATAAGCCTTGACGTTGAGACCATCGACGTCATGAACATGGAGAATAGAGGCCTTGAATATCGAAAGATCAACCCCCGAGGAGAGGTTCCCGCGCTCGTTCTCGATAATGGTTTTATCTGAACTGAAGTTACCGCCATCTGCGAGTATCTCGATGAGATAGCACAAGGCGGAAAGTCACTCTTCGGCGAAACACCCATTGAACGTGCCGAAACGCGCTTGTGGCTGAGACGAATGGACCTCGAAATCGCACAACCTATCATCTCGTGGGTTCGCAACGATCCGGGCACTGCGGACTTTGACATAGGACATCGGATTCCTATCCCTGAGGCGAGAATGGCACAGAAGGCTACCATTCAGCAGTATCTTAACCTGTTGGATGAACAATTGGAGGGAAAGAAGTATCTTTGTGGTGAGAGGTTCTCGGCGGCGGACACTCACTTCTACGGTCTGATGAAAGGAAAGACCACTGGAATGGCACCATGGATACTTCATCCGTGGAGGAAGAATATTGTTAGTTATTTTGAGAGAATGGATGCTAGGCAGGCTAGCAAGAAGGCGTTGGAGGTCTTTGGAGCAAGATTTGAAGCTCGATAGATAGGTGTGATAAAATGGTCACGAATGGATATCCATACTGTCTCAAGACAAGTGTATGGTACATATATTCATGACCTCAAAGAAGACCAGTTAGTTGATCGAAATACGAATAAGCAATTTGAAGAAGCCTGAGAGATTCTTGAGATAATACTTAATAATTTGTCAACAGGAGACAAGGTGACTTGGAGTATCCTTTTCTGAATCACAAAAAGTCTGAGGTGAATTAGGATAAATTGAGTAGGTGGACATCTAGGCTGCCTAGTTCATTGCCAACAGCTTGTCCTACAGCCCCTGAATCTCGATAAGAACGACAAGCTGAATCTATCGATAACCAGCACAAACGTCCTGGTAGACATTCTTCTCTAGCCCAGCAGCATCAGTGGGAATGTAATTTAGATAAGTCGCATAAGAATACGTCCATCTCGGGTCATTCGTCTCCGTCTTCCAAGTCCAGTAAATCCATCCCGCCATACCAGGCTTCTCATACAGCTGCTGCTGAGCCGTAAAGAACTTGTTAAAGAAAGTCTTATCATGCCAATCAGCGTTAGATGTCATGCTCCATTCACCAGTGAAGGTAAAGTCCTGGCCGCTAACGAGTCGAGAGTCAGTGCAAGCGCTGTGCATGAGCTTGTACTGATCACCGTTGCTATCACTGAGAGCAAAACCGATGTAGTTATGGTCGTCGAAAGCAGTGTAGGGATCGTTAGCTACGGATGATACTGAGCGGGGGTTTCCGGAGTCCCATTTGCTGGACATGAACTGAACGTGAAGCTTCTTGTTGTCGGGGACTTTGAGAGAAGCCTCGGTGTCACGGACGGCTTTGAGGGCTGCGGGATAGTACTTTTGGATTAGGCCGGGGTCCTCTCCGGGAGCAGGATAGCGGTTGTTCGCGTCATGGCGAGAAACAGGCTCGTTGAGGACCTCAATCACCCCAACAGTGGAATAGGCAGAGTTGGTGTGAATTCGATTCGTCATCCAAGCAAGCCACTTCTCTGCACGACCAAAGTTGTAGTCGTTAAAGAAACCCGCTGGTTTGTTGTTCTGACCAGTGAAGACATCTTCCTGCTGGCCGCCAGGAGCACCGTGAAGATCAATGATGACATAGATACCAAGATCGGCAGCCTTTTGAACCACAGCATCGAGGTAAGGAAGCATGCGGTTGCCATCAGCGAAAGGTTCGCTGGCTTTGTCAACGATATCAGTGTAGGACCAATATCCGATGGGGATTCGGATGGTGTTGAGTCCTACGTCATGGACTGACTGGACAGTTGCGGGGTTGATCCAGTTCTTCCAATGCTGTTCGAAGCGACTGTTGCCAGTCTCGCGGTTTGATCCCAAGTAGTGATCGCGCATGCAGTCAAACTCGGAGGCAGAGTCGCCGCACTTGAGGACGTTTGCCCATTCATCTCGCTGCATCCAGGGCTCACAAACAAGCCAGCCTATACATGTTAGCGGATGCACACTGAGAGGGATATTGGGGACTTACCTCCAAAATTGACACCGCGGATCTTGGTTACACCGCTGGGCAAGTTTGGTTTGAATCGTTTCCCAAGTTGCTCGTGGCGAGCGGTCTGGTTAAATGCTGCTAGGTCACGCTCATGGGGAAGCCATGCTGATGCGGAACCAGCCAGGATCAAGGGAAGAAGAGTAGAGTAATGCATCTTGCTCAGAGGCTGTGGCGAAGATAGCGAGATGGGGATGAATAGAACTAGACTATCGTGAAGGATAGTGAAGATATATACTGAGAGTAATTTATTCAGTGTATAGCCTATTTACCTCAGCCTCACATGATGCCGATCAGTTGAACTCCGCTTATTTGCCTCAACCTACTTTCTCGCCATTGCTTGCCTTCAACCTACTGCATAGGGCCGGCTGACCAGGACTTCCAGCTTATTCGGCCCGTTAAGCTGCATAAAATTACCCCAGATCATGCCACAGGGGAAGGTCAAGGCCATTGAGTAAGCGGGCATTTCAACTGACGAGGCCTCATACACTCATCATGCCTCTAGGATGAGCTGATTTAGAACACATAGATACGGATTTCCTTTTTGAAACGAGTTGCTAGGTTTACTGCTTATAACATGCTTTGAAGTCCTTATACTGGTTCATCCCTTCGAATTTCGATTCACGTTTCGAAACGTGCTTGGGTATGGATCTGGGATACTCAATTGGGCTAGCTTCACCCCAGACTGGACGAAGGAACAGGATAATTTCAGTAGCTTCGGCATTAAACCCCGGCCATTCATTGGCTGTTAATATCTGAAGAATATGCTACGCTACGAATTACCTGTTGATGCCGTCAAACGCAACCTTGATGATCAGGCTGGGCGGCCGATCCCAGGGGAACTATTGCGCGGAGAGACAATGGAACTTCCTCTTTGAGCTACAATCATGCCACGACGATCATCATCCCGCATATAGATTGCCGAGTGGAGGCCGACGTCGCATTGTAGCCGCCGGCCTCTCCGAATTTCTCGAAACTAGTTGTTACCCGCCTTGCTGGTCTAGTCTATGTAACTCTGAGGAGTGAAATGGTATAAGCATACGTAGTAAGCCAATATTTGACAGCCCGAGGTCCAATGCGGATTACCAAGTAGGGACTTACCGAGGGGATAGTTCGACAGTTGTCTTGACTTGTAATTTCTTTTCAGCCCTAAGAAAACTTTACAGGGGTATGTTGGGGTGACTAGCTAGAAAAGTCAGCGGCCCGCTAGTAATGCTACGGGCAAGATCAAGACGGGATGAATTTCTTAAGACTTTCGGCCCCTACTGATCTCTACCCATAAAGACCTGGCTGCTCTATCAAAACAAAAGTCGGTTTGATAGTCTAGAAGAGATTTGAGTACAGCTTGATGGAAGTAAGAATATTTTATTCTTGTCATTTATTTGGCCGCCTAGACTTAGACTTAGGACTCGTCCTTTCTCCAATACCTCATACTGAACTGGCTGCCCTGAAGAGAGACCGGTGCCAAGGAAGGATAATTATCCCATCGGCAGTTAATGTCGGGTGAGCTCAGCTAAGAGAAGCACGTGGAACTTTAGTTAAACTATCAAGTACCGCAGATTCAAGAGTCGACTTGGAACCTAAGGATCTTTATACTCCAACGACCATCACTAGGGCTTATCGGGCCTTCTATCGATAGATCCTTCAAGAACTTGCTGTGCGTTTCACGATGTCAACGAGTACTATGGGAGGCCTTTGCTGAGGTGTAAGTTTCTATGTCTTGTTATTTCGATGAGCTTGAAGGTATGACCTTAACGAGGAGATCTAACTTTTTCAATATACTAGAAAATTTCCCCCTAATAAAAGCTTAGTATCGATTGGAACAATGTAACTGTGTCTGGCAATACCAGTCACATGTAAGCCGAACGAAACAAGCCGAAGACATGGAGTTACATATCAGCGTTCTAGGGTTTACCACAAGTTTATTTCCGTAGTCTTACCAAAACACTCCAGGGGCATCCTTTGACTCTCCTATTAGGGTTAAGCGGTCAGAAAGTCCAAGCACTCCGGTAGTTCGGCAGTTAGGTAGACCTGAGATATATCGATTAGGTAAAATGCCACATGGTGATCTTGAGACTGGGATGGGGTGTACTTGATCATTGTTAAATCATAAAAGGGGCTCGACTGTAAATTAGATATAAAAGCTTAAACAGTTCCTTCACATCCTATTCAGAATCAACTCTCACCTCTATCAAGTTAGTGATATCTTTGAGCCAGACACCAAGACAATCATGCATTCTTGTTCATTTCTTACCGCCGTCACGCTGGGCACAGCAGCTTCTGCCTACCAGCTGCCTCAGAACCTGAAGTCAATTTACGATAATCATAAGGTAACTACGCTTCCATGGTTCGCAGATACAACTCTGACAATACAACAGGCTGGCTCGTGTTCCAGCCGCCTTTCCGACAGGTTCCCTGAGGGTGCTAGATACTGCGGCGATATATCAGGAGCTATCTACCTCAAGGGCTCCAATGGAAACTACGATAACATGGATATTGACTGTGATGGAGCGAATAACCATGCAGGTGCTTGCTCAAATGATCCCTCCGGACAGGGGGAGACTGCCTTCAAGGACACTGTCAAGAATTACGGTATTCCTGACTTGGATGCCAATGTCCATCCCTACGTGGTCTTTGGCAATGATGGAGCCTCGCCATCATTTGACCCCCAGCAGCACGGTATTAAGCCACTGAGTGTCATGGCCGTTGTTTGCAATGGCGAAGTGGCAAGTATTCCACAGTCAATTATAGATTTCCTGCTAACATTCAATAGCACTACGGCATCTGGGGAGATACTAACGGTGGCACCTCTACTGGCGAAGCTTCGATTTCTCTCGCCGAGCTTTGCTTTCCTAACCAGGGTCTCAATGGAGACAATGGCCATGGTGAGAAGGATGTTCTATATATCGCCTTTAAAGGTGACGAGGCTGTTCCTGGAAAGAATGGTGCTGATTGGAAGGCTGCGAGCCGTGCTGATTTCTCCAAGAGTATAAGGACTTTGGGAGATAAGCTGGTTGCTAAGCTGCAGGGCTAGTTCGACATTTCGATGAGTGTACATGGTGTTTTGACAATGTCTTTCCGTTTTTTCAACCAAGCAATGAGTTTGATTAGATGAAGCCTCTTTTCGCTCGTACGCATGCATCAGTGGACAAGTTTCTATTTCCCACGTGCCTTGAAGAGACCTCGGCTACTAGGACAACTATTCCACATGTCAAATAGGATGCTCATGCGCATTTAGTTAAATCATTTTGCCAGACCTCTATTTCGTAGCCTTGTGTTACTCTTTGGAGGCTGATTTCTAGCTCCAGAGAATTACACACCCTATAGGACAGTTGTTGAAATGTGAATTGTATGTTGGTTGAAGAAGCAGGACTAACTGGGCAGACAGAGAGATGACTATGTACATGATGAATCGCGGGATCGGATGAACGATAATTATGACTTTCAACAACAGCCACTTTCATCTTCGCTATCCTGGTTCTGCTGCTCTGTCCTCAGCTCATCGTTCAGCACCATGTATGTCTCCTTCTTAGTCTTATCTTCAACTTTGTGTCTCACCTCCTCAGTCCGCGTGACTATTCTCTTAGCTCTTTCATATTTAAACCGTCTTTCATGAATGTACTGTGTGTTGCGTTCGACTAGTGTTTGTAACCCCCCTTGCAGGAGGCGAGCTTCAACCAACAGGAGGACCTGCGCATCATCTATTTCCTGAAGTTCAAGAGTGGCGATCTTTTGCTTGAGCGAATGGCCAGAACGAAGGGCAGCACGCTGAGAGCCATTCAGATTATCGATCGCCCATTTCTCTGCTTTCATAATTGCTTCTTCCGCTTCTTGGCCTTCTTCGACTTTCTCAAGCAGGTAGCTTTTGCTAGGTAGTACCGCGAGGATAGAATTTAATAGAAGAGCCGCGATCGCCGTGAGTACGTTTGATGAGGACGAAAGACTCAGTATTGGGGACATGACAGCGAGTAAAAGCTTTGCAAGCGCAAGGGCCACATCGGAGGCAACTCCTGCCTCACGGTCTCTGCTCTGAAGCTCGGTGCTGTGACAAAACGTATGCATGTCGTCAATAACAACCTGGCTTCCGAGATAGCACCCAAAAGATCCTGAGCATAGGGGTCTACAGTGCCAGTGAGCCAAATCATGAGTATGAGCTGACAGAAGAACTCACCTTCATGCCTTAGCTCCCCAATCATGTCATATGAACGATCTAGTGTGGGAGTATAGCTAATCGAGCCCATGGCATCACGGGCTGCCTCACTGATGGCTCCAGACAATACTTTCCATTCTGGATCATTCGAACTAGGAAACTGACAAATGTTTCTGTGATGGCGTTCGGTCACTCGGCATATCTGCTGTGGCGGTGGCAGGTTTAGACGTGCTGAGTCTTCTGGAACGATCTGTTTGGCAGGGGGCAAGCAATTAGCTTCAACCACAAATAGAACGAGAGGATTCTTACCAGTCCAACATCGGGGACCTCACGCCCTTCCATCCAGGTATAGAATTTATATAGTTTAAGTAATGGCTCAAACTTGCTATTGAGCTCTTTGTTGTAGTCTGAGTCGATACTCACACTCTGTAGAAATGAATTCTTTTGCTGGAAGGTAACTAAACCAACGATATGGCTAGCAATCTTTCCAAAACCGGCATAATTCGAGCCGCGATGCGGTACTGCCATAAAGAAGACAGCATATGTGAATGTTGAGATCATGGGATAGGCTTGGAACCTTTTCAATGCAATTACCAGTGCCTCTTTGACAATGATACCCCCCAGACTATGAGCAATCCATATAATAGGTCAAAGTGGGTTCAACTGCGGGAATAGTAATTAGAAGCGGGTTCCATTTCAGGTATGAAGGGAAGCATCACCTTTCGTTTCATTCTCAGGCATTCAAGTAGATTCTCCGCTTGACCGGCCACACCAGCGATCGATGGGCCGAATACAACATTTGCGTTGTATTGAAACGCCAACACTCTAGCTGAAGGTATCTGGACTGGCAAAAGGTCTCGAACCCAATTGACGCCCGATTCTTTATCTTTCCAAACATCCTCTTCGTGGCTCTTATTACCCAGAGGGTTCATGCCATGAACAACAATAATACTACATGGGAAGTGGTGCTTTAGTACGAGTGAAAACGGCAGCGGCCATGCTGTAACTTTGTACTCACTCTACAGTTGCCTCTAGAGGACTATGGATTCGGATCAGTGTATTGGAGGCTGGCATATTCAAGCTAATGATTTGACTTTCGGATATTACACGATGTTGGCAATCGAACCATGTTTTGACAGCTAAACTCAGTTGATGGCCCCTCACCATCTTAAAGCGGAATTGGGCTTGAATCAAATGTGCAATTAATGCCCAAATTCTGCACGTGGTCTGTATATGCAAGTAGTATTGTGGCCGACGGCTGACCATGCATAGCCAGATACTGAGACCACCATTAGATAGGTGTACTGCCACCATGTATCAGGCTCCAAAATCAATATGAACTGGTTTGTTGCGATCGCTTTGATTCCTCACAGTATATGGAAAGTCTCCCTGTTGCGATCTTTTGCGTGCTTGTCTATTGACTATTATTTCATCTGCACCGACGTGTATCAATCCAGTTGCTTGAGATTCCGAGAAATGGCTTGGATATGACATAGATTGAATGGCTATTGTGTATCGCTTATATGGTGCTATGGCGACTGATCGTCTCAGAACCTAAACTCGACTACTTCTCTCCACGGGCGTCTTCTGGTCATCATCTATTGGCATGATCTCCTCCTCGCCATGTACCTGGGCACCTTCAGGATCCAGGCCCCAGGCTAAAATATCAGGATACTTTCGTACGTAAAACCACATTCCCATAATAGAAACAATGCTTCCGACACTAAACGCAGCAGCCAACGGGAAACCAACTGGGTATCTGGGTGAGTCACTAACCCGCCAAGCACGAAGTGGTATAGAAGCATGTCCGGCATAAACAAGTGTGACAGCGACAGCCACCAGAATCGACCTCACCTCCGGTTCTTTCCTCAATATCTCCGCCAACCACGCGAGGAGAGCATAGCCCCAAGCAGCCGTAGCAAAAGTAAGAAAATAGAAAGCCATGATGGTCTTCCACGAACCAGGCCACCCGGAGAGAACCGAGGTTGCGATGAGCTGTAAAGTGGCGGCGCCAACGCTGACTTGCCAGCGCCAGGCCTTCCAATCACTGAGGGCGTTGAGACCGATGTTGCAGACTATGCTTATAGCGTAGCCACCAAGTGGGATAAGGTTGACGGTGTAGACTGAGTAGCGGGGCGTTCCGTCGGCATTTTGAAGACCTTTTAGAAAGAGGAGGAAGTAGGCGTTTGCGCGCTGACTCCATGCGAACTGTAGATAGGCTGCCAGAAACAGATAAGAGAGAGGACTGAGAATAAGGAGTTTCATCTTTTGAACCAGAGTCTTGAAGGGGATGATTCTGGAAGTTTTGACACCGCTGTCACTCATTCGAAGACGACACAGCTCTCGCTCTGATTCTGAGAGCCAAAGAGCTCGAGTGATAGCAGGCGAGTCTGGAATGATGACAAGACCGACAAGACCCCAGAAAATAGTCATTATCCCGCTGATGATGAAGAGCCATTGCCAGCCAGCAAGACCAGATACGCCGTTGAGGTTTCTGTAGAGAGCGGCTTGAACAATGCCGAGAAACATGTTTCCCGCAACGCCACTGACGCCAAAGATCGCCAATCGCTTTCCCAACTCCTCGGGACGATACCTAAAGGCTTGTTAACGACATATGGAGCTAGAGGTTTGTGATCAGTGATCATACCAATTGAAGATCAGGTTTACAATGCCGGGCCATGATGTAGACTCGAAAACGCCGAGGAAGAATCGCAGCGCAAATACGGTCTTTGCATTTGGAGCTCTGTAGGTGAATAGGGTGAATAGGCCCCAGATGATCTCGCAGAGTGGCAGAAACAGAGATGGTCGAACGCGAGTTTGGATGAGCTGCGATGGGACAATAAAGAGGGCGTATCCGATGGAGAAATACGTCGTGAATTCCACCAATTCATTGCCGTAGAGCTTGAGATCTTCTTTCATCCCCGAGACATACGCAGCTGTCGTCGCCGATTGATCCATATCCTATAAAGTCATCAATATCACATTTCACAAGAAAGAATGGGTATGTACATACCTTGAAGAGACCTGCGATAAACGCCCATACCAGCAACAAACAATCAAGCTTGAGGACCAAAACATGAGCTGGATTTTTGAAGTATGGGTGAACCTTTGCCAACCACGACGTCGACTCTACATACGCGACATTCTGCCTCTCTTCCGAGGCAGAGTCATTCACAGGTGTCGGCATCTTTGTTGCTCCAAAGACCGCTGAAAAGTAGAAAGAGGAGTTGAGAAATGATCGACGCTTGGGGTTCTCTGGAATATTTAAAAAATTCCCGCCCGCCACATTTGACTCTAAGCTAGAGACGTTCTAGAGCCTCGGCAAGTATCGTTTCTCAGCGAAAACTGCAGCCATGACGAGCTTAGACCATAAATATCGCAAGATCACGAGTCAGTGGTACTAAGATCGGAGCCGAGAAGTAAACTACCGTGTTTGTCGTGATCCAGGGTCCGATTTAGCAGAAACACCATGAGATTACCCCACTGCTTATCTTGAATCACAACAGCTACAATTGGCTCGATCTACAGAGCGGGTACAGTCACCCGGCTTGCGTCTTCAGCCCTGCAAATAACGAGCCCCCAAATCTCCTCTTCTAGCTAAAACGATCGGACAAGCCCCGACATGCTCGGGTTGCACCATCCGAAGGCGGAGATATCTAAGACGCAGCCTGCACATTCAATTCAATTGCTAACAAAGCCCAGAATGTCTTCTGAACCGCTGTATCCCGCTTATCTGCCCACCCGCTCAGACGGCTACAATGCGCCGGTACCTGTGCCCCTCTTTGAAGCGGAAGAGCCAGGGCTTCGGGCTGATCCCGCCAAAGCGAATCTGCTAAAGGGCGCTACGACGGTTGATATTACCCCACGTATTGGCACGGAAGTCCGGGGTGTGCAGATTAGTGCATTGGGGAGGGAGGGGCTTGATGAGCTGGCTTTGCTAGCTGCTGAACGAGGTGTTGTGGTTTTTGTGAGTCTGTTTGGTGGCTGTCATGATATTGAGCTGACTTTTGTAGAGGGACCAGGATTTTGCGGATGTAGGGTTTGATAGACAGAGAGAGATTGTCAAGCATTATGGGCCGCTTCATCAGCATCCTACGATGGGATATCCGAAGGGAACTGGGCCAGAATTTCACGTTGTCTATGCCGATGAGAAGACGTGAGTATCTTCAGAAATTCTTTTCATTACCAACAAGTGTATTGATTAAATGCAGTGGCAACTTGAGAAAGCTTTTGGGTCCCCGGACGACATATGACCTCTGGCATATTGACCAGACATTTACACCAAATGTGCCTTCGACCACTTTCTTCTGGGTCCTCGAGATACCCGAATCCGGCGGCGGTGACACAGCCTTTACGTCTCTTACAGCAGCCTACGAAGCTCTCTCGCCTGCATTCAGAGAAACTCTTCATGGCCTCAATCTTCACCACACATCAGCTTCCGAAGGCGAAGTACGACGAGTTGGCCAAGAACGTGCTCTTGCAGAAGCAATCAATGCGACGCATCCCCTTGTCATCAAACATCCCGTCACTGGCAAACCATCGCTGTTTGTCAATCCCACGATCGCTCGGCAGGTTGAGGGCTTTCTGCCGGAGGAGTCAGATCACTTGCTCTCGTTTTTGAAGAATCACATTCGAAGCATGGACTTCAGTTGCAGGGTCAGGTGGGAGAAAGGTACGGTTGTGGTTTGGGATCAACGAGGAACGGCACATTCCGCTGTGCCTGATTTTCGAGATAACGAGAGGAGGCATATGGTTCGGATTATTCCCTACGGCTCCAAACCGGAACCTGCTTTCGAGTGATCCGACTTCGATATGTTCCTGTTTCTGCCATACGTAAGCTAGCTCACTATCACCCACCTAGAGGAGGCAAGAAGACTTAGGATGTTGACCCTTAGCGACGAAAATATTTAGTCAAGTCTACAATAAGGTTAGGGGACTCTTTGCTAAGTTTATTTTAGCCCCCTCTCCTAAAATCATAAATTCACTCGCTCCCCGAGGCTCACTGCACCTGCGTAGCACTCACTGTATGCAAAGTCCCGTGTTTGTTGATGCCACGGCCTTTGCGGATCAACATGATTGGTGGACCATCCTTGTCATAGTGGGGTATCCTGCCTGGGCAGGATTGGCGCCTACTGCCCGTCCTCTCCGTTGTCCATCACTCAAGGCTCTTCGAACAACCTTGTTTACCTCAATTCGTTTTGCAACTTTCACTTCTTTCGTCCCAGTTCATGTGCTGGACTGCTCCTAGACACCTATTTCTAGCTCTGTGGCTTGGCTTCAGTCTTCAAACCAACCTGGTCGTCCTTCTGATCGTTCGGTTAAGATGACTCAGACTCGGAGAAATCCACGATCCAAAGCGGATAATACGTCTAGCACAAAACCGAGACTGGAAGAATTTCATCTCTTTCGATTTCTCCCGTATGATCTGCGACACACAATTTATATCCTCGCCACCCCTCCACGGGTCGTTCGTGTTGAGGAAGGGCCAGTCAATCCCAAGGAGAAGCGGGCATGGATCGACCAAGACTACGAGAGCTATTTCGACTATGCATTCGAAAAGTTTTACAAGGAGAAGCTAGTCAAATTGCCAGTTCCGAAGCTACACCCGGATCTGGCAGCATTTGCGCATAACTGGCGACACAGAATTCCATGGGATTCATATAACCGCCAATACAAGCAGACATGCCTAGAGACGTATGGTTTCACCTCCAATTCACCCGTTTACGAGCCTTGGCAACCATCAGAAGAAACACCATGCATTCCGACGGACTGGCTCGTCGACTTTCCTGAGCTCGCATTTGAATTGACCCGCAAGTGTGCTTTGTACAGCGAGGCTGAGATACCTGTGTTCTTGCATGTATGCTCAGAATCACGACAAGCGCTCGTCAACTGGGGCTACCGGCTCTTCTTCGCAACTAGAACAACAGGTCCAAGAATTTGGTTTCATCCCGAGAGAGACCGTCTCTACATCCCTCATACAGTAGAAACCTTTCCGAGGGCATATGACAGGTATTACGGATCTGGCCTTCCGGGGGAAGCTCACACGCCATACCCATGTCCTGAGTACAGTATGCTACTCTCAGGTTGTCACTGGGATATAGGCCAATACCGCGTGGATGACTTGAAAAAAGTCAGGAATGTCATCCTTGAAAGCCCATCGACAGGGAAGGACCAGGATGCATTGGTCCGTGAACTTCAGTCTCTTCTTCCTCTCCTTTCGGGCCTAAGCGAGCTGCTCCTTGAGAACTGGGGACTAGAAGAATTTGGGGACTGGTTCTATCCATTCCGTGGTTCGCACACTGTGGAAGTCAAGACACCTGCCAGCTCCGTCGCTTGCATCCCTGTTGAGGATATCGATGCTATAGGATATGCTTTCTGGGAGCGTTCCCGAGCAAACGACGATAACAGGCTCGGACCATTATGCTACACCGGGTATCGTAACAGCGACTTCAACGAATTTCTAGAAAACCCGTCTCGATCTAAATCGTACCATGTGGCACACGCCGAAGCAGTAAAGACTGAGCTTCTTGAATGGAAGTCTGACCTTGCAACATCCCAGAAGCCGCGAATCCCTACCATTTGCCACGTCAATATCTGCCCAGACTCTTTTTCAAAGGTCTACTTGGCCAACCGACACAGGTTCTGGAAGGCTCTGGAGTCTCTTGACCCTATGCAAGTCCAGGACTTGGACTTTCGAGAAAAGTTCTCACTGCGGATGAGTAACTGTCCGCCTCCTTTTAGGATTCACTGGCGACAGTTGGACTGGGACCGCGACTGGCCAGACACAGTTGAGATTGCTCGATTGACAGATGCGATGGGGATCGATTGGTACATGGAAGGGACGCTTCAAGCTTGGTATTTGACGCGGTTTGAGGTTCCGGAACCGCAGTGTATTGAGCTGTAACAAGGGAGGCTGATTGCGATGTGAGGAAAAAAAACTCGGGACCTAAATGGCAAAGGGCTTAGGTAACTTAGTATGAGTTCAAGATAAGTTTAGGATATCTTTTGCTGAGTTTATCTTGACACCTTGGATTAAGGTCCGGTATTTTGTTGCATCCTAGGGGTTTGTAGTTGCGTCATAAATGACCCGGAAGATGCTTTCTGAGAAGCCTTTGTCCCTGCATTGAAACGCAAGAACGCAGCTGTCTTACCCTCACGCTGATCAGGGTCTCGTCCAGCCATTGCTCAGAGCCACTGATGAGCGACAGCTATACTAAAGCCACCACATAATAGGGATTGGCGATCTGGTGGCTCTTCTATTGGGCGGCTATATACCTGGCTAAATCTATCTCTCATCACTTGTCAGGTTGGCGCGTCATATTTGCGGCACGGTTGATCAGGTCGTACCATATTAGGAACTCAGGGTCTAAGTTGATGTCACTGTGGCGATGCTGTCGAATCGTTGGGATTTCTGTTGAAGCTCAGAGAGTTTCTAGGAGAAATGATAGTCGATATGACATCGCAACGGCGAATCTTCGCGGCTGAGGTATGATTGTTGATGATATGGTTGTTTCTTTGATTGGCATCGATCACCACTTCCATTGCCTATATAACAATGGCGTCAGACTGCCAAAGTCGAACATGAAAAGAAGAACATTAACACAAATCTCTACGCTTTTACGACACTGCTTCAAGAAATCTGCGCTTCAAACATAACTACTATCTCATATCATCATTATCATAACAACATGGCTCCCAAGTGAGTCTTCTACCATCGCTTAAACGTATGTCTGTACTAACACTTTTTCAGCTCCAAGCGTCGTTTCTCCCTTAGTGCCCTCTCTCCCGCATCTAGGAGATACAACAAGGTCATGAGCGAGCGACCTGACAACCGTCGATCTATTGACACTACAGCCACTACCTCAACAATGGGCGGCATGCCTATCGTTGAGGTCGAGAACCACCTTGTTGATCCGGCGTATCGCTGGACAACTGCTAATAGAATTGGCTAGATCTGGCAAAAAGCAAATGGCTTTTTGTTTGAAGCGAGAGCACAATGATATCAATGTACATAAATCTGTCATTTAATTTGAACTGTCCTTTCTATACCATGATATGTGTACACAATGACTGTGGGCGTTTGATCCATATGCTATAGTAAAGTGAGGAATTCAGGCAAGTGTTTCGTCACTTGAGCCCGTGCCAGCCGATGTCTTATTCGGATCTTTCCAGAACACCCGTGCCCAAGACGACGAAACACTGAACAAGCAAAAAGCATGTTTGCAAACACCAAGGAAACCAGCTTAATATGTCATTGTCATACACACAAGCGATAACCACTGGTCCCGCGAGCCGCAGAAATTTACCGAAGAGTCTTTGGACTATAAGCTTTCGTTATTCATGCTAATACGCCATCCGGCTCTTCGTTCCCCCTACTTCAGGGCTCGCAGTCTCCTTGCAGAATGCCCGAACAGTCTCAACGAGACGCAGCCTTGTCGTTTTGTGATCAAAGGCCTGACCGTGGTCCAACTCCTCAAACCAGATCACATCCAGTTTACCGTCGCTTAAAATCTCTCCTGTCTCTTTATTTGGGCTTTGCGCCCAATTTTTTGAACCTACAAGATATGCCCTAATCGATTTTGTATCGATGATACTGTCTCTGCTGGCCAAAGCCACGGCCACAGGACGATCCTGTAGGTCTTCCTTCCACAGTAGATTATCGGCCCAGAAGAAGCGCCGAAATAGGGTATGAGCGATGCCTATGTCTTTGGAGCCAAAGTAGGAGAGTAGATGCTCCTTAGTCTCACTTGGACGTCGACATATCTGGAGAAAGAGGTTTAGTGAGATCAACTGGTAGACTACATCGTCGATAGACGTACAAAGTTATATGCTACATCAGGTAGATGCAACAGGAACGATACCGGATCAATAAATATAACGGGGCCGATACTGATGGATGTCTTGGGGTCTCGGAGAAGCTGTGCGGCAACAACGCTTCCGTATCTTCACATTGAAATTATTAATAACACAATTTGAATTCGTCTTATACCACTTACGAGTGAGAGACTAAGACACATTTTCCCCACCCATATGAAGACAATATTTGATGAACTTCCTCGCATATTTCATCTTTCAACATAGCCGGGTCTGTGATGCGAGAACTCACTGACAAAATCTCCACAGCGATGATCCCAATGTCTCCATCGGCTTCGTAGCGGGTATTGATGTCAGCCAGGAAATTTATGTACGGATAGAGCCCCACGCCGATGCCGTGGATAAAGAGAATCGGTAGTTTTGTTTTGGACGTATGTGGCCGGCGCCAGTAGGTAACCCTCTTAGCAGGAGATTTGTAGGGCGTAACTAAACTTAGAGGCCGAAGCGGAAAAGTGTTAAACCATTGGGAGACCGATGTTCGGTGAAAGCTGAAGGAATGGTATAGCAAATAAGTAGATGCTATCGTGTCGACAACAAAGATGCACTGAATAGTAGAGAGTTGAAGTTAGTGGTCGATGGCAAGTGGAACTGAATTGCCAATACTTTGATAGATACTCACAAGATACCATGTTACACTCCGATGAAGCATCTCGACCTTGTCAAGAGTCAGGCGCAGGCATTTAGCATTCCCCCGGCCAGGCTCCAACCTTCTCCCGAGCAGCTCCTCTAGTTGCTTGATGTAGTCCTCTAACTCGTCATCATATGTCGAATCACAATCTTCCATGTTTAGAAAGCCCCATCGAAAGAAGTCTTTGACGTTCTCACGCTTGATTTCATGCTCTGGCGCATTACGAAACCACCGCCTTAGATACTGGCCTGCGTCTGGAATATTATCGTGACATTGTTGGAATAGCCTTTGGCGATCGGCTCGACAGGGTGCAATAGGATGATTTGCGGGTTTTTGGAGGTGGCTGTTCAGCGGAAGGTAGATGAAGATGTAGAAAATTGCTTCAAGAATAAACCATGCCTCGAGAAGCCTCGGAATCTGAAATGGGAGCCTGACTAGTGATAAGGTGAGAGAGACGACAATGCTTAAGGGCGCGATGAGGTGCAACACAAAGATAGAAGAGCGCATAAAGATGTAGTCCCATAGTGATTTTACCGCCATTACATCCAAGTGTCGTATGTTGTTTTGTAGTTCTGTGAAGGATCAATTGCTTCTGGATAAAGCTTTAAGGACAAACAATGCTGCTAGTGATAAGTATGTAAGCGATAATCCAGATCCTAGTCTGTTTTGACTATTTGATTTTGTTGAATTCCACTAATCCCGTTTTGTTGGGACAAACTCTGCCAATGATTCACTTATTTAAGTCTTTACGCCGAGGTAAATTTACCATGTGCTCAACTCAGCATGTGAATTGATAGTCACGATGAGAATCGACAAGTCGTGTGAATCCTTGTAACGCGGTTAACTTTGATGTCTGTGCCGATATGTTGGTGACACCAAGATACTCTTTATTGTATTCGCAATTGACATTCTGCATTCTAAAATCACGGGTAGAAATATTACTATACGGACAGAGGAATAGTTTCATTTAAAACGTTCTATTGACTTGGCTATATAATTATGAGCTAAAAGTGCCATCATTTACCTCTTCAAGCGCGTTTCCTCTTCAACCCGACTCTACTTGGAAAGCGCCCAACTGCGGGTTGAAGTTTGAGACCCACGGTGCAAGGCGGGTTCTTGGGAGAGAACTTGAGGAATGGTCCCTTTGGCTCTGTATGACGATCGAACAAGGCTCTTCTCTGTGCTGCTGAGTGGGTGTGTTCAAGGTCAACTTCCCTAGACCACATGCTTGTTCTGGGTCTCGCTCTGCGACGTGAATTATCGTTGCACGTTCCCCCCCGTTTGTGTTCATTTGCTTTAAGCGTGATACCATTGACAAACCCGGCGTCTGTACTTACTTGACTAACTTTCCCAGCGGTAGCAGAGGAATGTCTTTTGTTAAATCTTTCAGTGCGGTCGGGGCCCGACAGGACAGAGTCTTGACGCAACGGGTGCCAGCGGTGTTCTCGGGGGAGGTATGATGCAAAGTATTGAACGAGCGAGTCGAGGGAGTTGGTACGAAAGAGTTGAATGGCATGTTCCCACTGAAGGGTCTCGATGAGCCTCGGATTGCCAATAATCTCGAAACTTGCAGACTCGAGGGCCTCGTTCAATTCGTTGAGTCGCTGTTGTTTTCGACCGTGGGCGAGACGATGGAACTCGGCAGCAGAATGCGCGGTATGGGCGATTTCGGAGATGTCGTAATAAAAGGCTTCGGGGCTTTGGATCGGCGCGAGATAAGTGTTGTACTGGTCGTGAAGCTTGTTAGATAGATCTTCCTTCTTCAGACCAAACTTCCATGCAGGCCATGTGTATGCTGGGTCATCCATAATGAAAGAGTATTTGAAGAAAATTTCTGGATTATTTATTATCAGAAAACAATTCTGGGAGACTTTAAAACTGGTAGGATGAAGAGGAATGCCTACAGAACGCTGATATGATTTCTGAATGGGGATCCTAAGACCCTGATTTTCATAGCGGGTGAGCCATGCCATGCCAGTAACGTACGCCTGACACAATACACAAGATGGGTGTGCGCTAGTGCTGCAGGCAGGGGCTTCACCGCACACTTCAGGCCTAATGCCGCTAACGCCCCCTGATACAACGTGAGTGAATTGTCTGATGGCTTTCAACACGGCCTGTATATTAGCCCGGATCATTCATCGATTTCTTTAAATACGATGCAGCTTGACCTAGAAAATCACAGAAGATAGATCGCCAAACTCCCCAAGCAGCATAATGACCACAAATACCATCTCTACTACTCGTGGAGCTCACCTCACGGAAGCCCCCCTCAGCTTGCCCTTTGTTAGACAACATCCATCTTCTCCACCACTGGGAGATGACACGGCGCGAAAGAATTACTCATTGTGGCTATCCCAGTACACGATGAACAGAATAGTAGATCTTCTCCATTCTGGCTCTCTTGACCCCTCACTCCTACTACAAGTCGCGATTCCCGGCAATTGTTCTCTGGCCCTACCAAACACAACGACGCAAATGACGAAGTGAGAAAGCAAGCCCCTGCAGAATGTTGCCCTTGGCTTTGTGAAAGAATGTCGATGTGGATTGCGAATTGTTACCTTATTCTTGTTTTAGTAATATTTCTTGTCTATTCCATTTAGCTTCTATTCCTGGGCGTGTCCAGGCTAGAAGACGTTGTGTCTGCTTATTTTAATTCCACCAGCGCTAAAAGTATCGGAAAGGCCGGCGTCAAGGGGATTACTTTTCCGGTGATGGTTGAACGATCGCTGAGACCAACCAAAATATGTATTTATCACTCAGACGTTGGATAGTGACGAAAGACTTATCATCAAACCATCACACAATTTCTATTATGAGTCAATTTTGAAAGGAACCGCGCTACGCCAGTTCAATTGTGTCTGTCAAAGCCATCGTTCTAGAATTCACTGGACCCTGTAAATCTCATGATCAAGACCCAAGCCTTCCATGTCACGCCCTGAAACCCTGCACCCACATGCTCGCTTATAAGGTTCCGGACCAAGATCCGCTGGTTTTGATAGGCGTAGAGCTCAACGTCACCCGTTAATCCTTGAACTTTATTTGCAGCTTGGTCCTGTCAACTGCAAGCGGGATAAATAGAGTACAGAGGTACCTAGACCAATGCAAGTGGCAGGATTTACTGGTAGTTTCGTGGGCCCATCCGCGGGGCGACACATTATTCCCCTGCAGATCTGATTTCAAGTTGGAGAGGTGAAAGAGACTGGGTGACTTTAAGAATTCATCACGAAGACTTTGCAACAATGTTCGACGGAATCTGTGCTTCAACTGTTGGTAGGCGCCACTACTGTGGCCGGAGGCCGACCTTGCATCTATTCGGAGACGACAGCAGCTCACACAGATCCCATTTTTGCTTCTTTACTCGTGGTGGTGCCTTTACAAGGATCAAACATTTGTGTTTAGCTTGTTGCCTGGCTGCAGATAAGAGGAAAGAAAAGCGGGATATTAGCTAATTGCTCCATGCTTTCATCCGACCGAAGTACGACACATGTGTAGGCAACGGATCTGCTTGTGCTCACGGGAAAGGGAAACACCCTGAAGAAGAGTGGATATTATCCAGTTGCTATGCAATCAAGATGCCACGTCTTGAAAACACGATGATGCATCAAGACAAGTTGCACATGTTTGTAAACATCCCCTCTATCTTTGAAGCGTTAGGCCTCCCAAATAACATAGTGGCGAAAGACGCCAACCGATGCAGTGGCGAAGAATGTGATTTGCATTTGCGAAACATGCTGCCACGGAATCCATGGCTGATAGGTTTGTTGAGGAAAACGTCGAGCGCTTCGACTTTTGGTGGTCGGCGTTGTCATGCGGGAGCCCAAAACTGGGCGGCGGATCGGGTAGTCGCATACAGGCAACGAAGAGTACGCCTCACGCATCTGTCCGCCTTTCCTACATAAGAAGATATCTTATTCTTCTGACCGCTTACTAAGTCTTTTGACGTTGAAAAAAAGGAGAACTTTGCCAGTGTCAAAGTTGGAACTTAGGGTTAGACTCTCTCTCCATCAAGCATATCCCCAAGCATCGATGGCGCCTCAAGGAGTCGAGGGGTTCCTTGCCTCTTTGAAAGAGTGAGGCGAGTTACCGAATGATCTTTAACATGCGCTGACATTATCGCTAGGTATTACAACACTGATTATCTTTCCGACATCACTGTTACCTGCGAAGGTCAAGTCTTCAAGGCTCACAGGATCATCTTGTCAGCCCACTCAAAGTGCTTCGCCAAGATGCTGAATGGCAACTGGAAGGTATGTTAAATAGTTGAGATTAAAATATCAACTTCTCACAGAACGTAGGAGAGCTCCGAAGGAAATGTCGAAATCAAGGATTTCGATCCCGGTGTCGTTGACGCCATGCTCCGATTCATCTACTCATTTGAGTACGAAAACACGCAGGGTACCCCTCCCATGATCTTCGACGCCCATATGTACCAGATTGCAGACAAGTACGACATTGCGGCACTGAAGACCGAGTCGAAGAAGAAGTTTGAGCTATCTATAGCTAATGGATGGGCTACGGACGATTTTCCAGTCGCTGCCAATCTTGTCTACGTGTTAACACCTTCCGAAGACAGAGGACTTCGCGATCTCGTCGTGGAGATTGCCAGGAAGAACATTGACCAACTTGTTAGCAAGGACGGCTTTCGCGAACTCACGAGGGAGACGCCTGACTTCTCCGCGGATTTGATTCCCTTCCTCTGTGGTAAGGGTTCAGGGCCGCGATTTGTTCAAACTTATACGTGTCAATCATGTTATCAAGTGGTACAAGGCGAGTTTGCAGCAAAGGTCCAGTTTTGTCCGTTTTGTTCTCAGAGGCTTCCGAACCTGCGAAGACAAAATAGCTTGTTTGGTTCGCCACCTCCGCAATGAACTCAAGCTTTGTGCTAGACACCAGTCCCTATGAAACTGGTCCCCGAAGAGTGCTGATAGCTCATCGCTAAGTCACTGAAGCTATCAGGAAAGGACTTTGAGCACGGAAAGAGTTACCCTTTAGCATCAAACTAATTACCAATCTCTCAATCATACATTTGAGGACAACAAGATCATATTCTGAGCCTCTGTCACTGAAGATTTTGAAGACTCGTAGTTCACTAAGAAGTGATCAGAGAAATATCATCACCTCTTCCTGGCGTAGCAGTGAGCATCATAGACAGAAAGGTATTAATCAGTTGCTCGCCGGCTTTCATTCTATTAAATAGTCAGTGCAACTTGGCAGTGTCGGCACTATACTAGAACAGTAGGAGACCGGGGATCGGTTATTTTCGACTTGGCCCGTCACTGAACTGTGAGATGAAGGTGAAATATACTTGGTAGTATACTACTTAGATGACTGTAGAGTAAGCAACACATTGTTGCTTTAATACTATACGAATATGTTTCTTACATCAAGGTTCCCCTACTGCCAACAGCTGTTCCTCCTTGACCATTCCGTAGCTCAGCAGACCTTCCACCAACAAACTCATCATAGACTAAACTCAATCGCTGTTTCTCATCAGATTTGATGCTAGCCCGTGAAACACGCAAGCTCCTCTCTAAATGCCTCCAAGCAAGTAGGACCTCCGGCTTATGTGACACTGTGTCGTCTGATTTCTGATCTCCTTCGCTCTGGACTCCTCGTCGGCTTGACTTGCCCTTGGAACGTAGCTTCATAACCGTTTCTTCATACTCGGCGAGTTTCCTAAGCTGCGTGCGCCGGTCGCTAGAGTTGGCATCAGAGCGCAGCCGGTCTTGTTCTGCACCGTACCAGAACTGTACAATACTAGGCTTTCGAGAGTCTTGGACTCGCGTCTTTCCATTCGTCTCTGCTGAGCTAACCCCGGTATATTTGTCTCCTAGGTACTCATGAATGGCTTCAAGCTGTGCATTGGAGATAAGGGCCTGCAAGTCGGCTCCTGAATAGTCTTGGGTCCTCGACGCGACGTCCCTCAGCCTTTTGTCAAGCTCTCCTTGGAGGTCCTCGTCAAGCTTTAGCTTCTTCAAAAGACACCGCAGAATATCAATTCTATCGTCCAGGTGCGGCAAATCACACAAGAGCGACTTATCGAGGCGGCCTGGCCGGAGCAGCGCAGGATCAATAAGATCGGGTCTGGACGTTGCAGCGAGGACATAAACGCCAGACAAGCCCTCGACACCATCCATCTGAGTCAACAATTGGTTGACGACACGGTCCGTCACCCCAGTTGAGTCGCTTCCACGCTTCGGTGCAATCGAATCAAATTCATCGAAAAAAAGAACGCAGGGCTTTGAGGCAGTCGCTCGCTCAAATAGATCCCGAATAGACTTCTCAGATGCACCGATATATTTATTGAGAATCTCCGGGCCTTTGACGGAGATGAAGTTCAATCCGCACTCACCAGCAACAGCGCTAGCTAGCAGAGTCTTTCCACATCCTGGGTATCCGTAGAGAAGGAGACCAGAACGTAGTCGAAGCGGGCATTGCGCGAAGATAGGTGCGTAGCGTGTCGGGTATTCGATAGTCTCCAAAAGAACTCTGCGGGTTTCCGTCATGCCGCCAATAGAGTCAAATGTCGTAGTTGAAGTCCCAAGAGACATGTTTCGTAACGCGACTGGTGTAAATCCCTTCTGGGCTTCCTCGAAATGTTCTCTCGTGAGAGGGACACTCATCTTGCTGCCATCCTCCGGGTTGTGTGATATGAAGCGGGCCAAAGCAACATACTTTGCTCGTTCTACGAGCAGAACAAGATCTCGGGGCATGTAGCTTTCCGTGAGATTCGTAAGATCCGCAAAGTCTACGTCGGGTTTGAAAATGCGTGAAGTGGCAGCATTAGCTACTGGAACTGCCTCTGTAGACCCGAAAACGTCCATCCATGATCCACTGGAGGTCTCTGGTTGGGCACCGTCAGACTTTTCTGGACGACTAATGATGAGGCCCTCCCTTTCTTCTTCACCTTCTTCATTTTCTGCACCTGTGCCTTGTTGTATCACCGCCTCCAGGATCTTCCTCCTACACACCTTGTTTGAGACATCCAAAGGAAGGGTTTCGCGGAACACGTGGTTTCCAATGATGACATTGTGCAGGGATTCTTTCGTCTGCGCAGTCGCGAGTACCACCACCCCACCGCCCAGCGCAGAGTGTCGTTTTATGACTGAAGCAATCACCTCACTCATCTGCTTCGAGCGAGCATTATCGCCTCCAACCACAAGTTCAGTCTCAGCAGGGCATAGCTTGTCGACATCGTCCAATATTGCCAGAGCACGGCCGCCCAGTCTTGTACTCAGGGCTGCTTGGAGGAAGGATTGTTCAATAGTGTCTCTGATAGTAGCAATGCGCTCTTCATGTGCTGACATCTCTTGGCAAGAAATGTATATGCTGTGAAACAATTGCTCAGATCTCAACTGATGCCCAATCAATAAGCTGACGGAGCTTTTTCCTGCGCCGGGGCCTCCTATGAGTAATACTGAAGACTCTTGCACCAAGTGTGACTTGACGTCTGTGACGATGTCCTCGACACCAGCAAGAACTGGAACTGATTCATCCAAGGGATCGTTGTTGGAATTCGAAATTGGCGAGGGAATTGGCTCTTCGACTTCGATGGTGGACATACGACCTGAATTGAGGAATCAGTTGCAGAAGGGCTTTCTAGGTTGGGCGAGGTTGGCATCAAATCGAATTATCCCGCCAGTCCAATTAGGAAACATGGGCGTCGAAGAAAGGGGACCTAAGATCATGCCATCCGTGACAGGGCCGTCCAGAAGACCCCGGAAGGCACTGGGTTGCTTGTACATGTTGAGAATCGATTTTCCAGCTTCTTGTCGGCCTTGCTTCGCGGTAGGCCCAAGTTTGAGAGCACCTGTCGATTCCCGCGCGCTACCTATGAATGGGTAAACATGAACATTTTGAGCAACTAAAGCCTGTTTTGCAGGGGCAGCCTCAATCTTGATGGGCACTCCAACCATGCCCTCGGAAACCAACGCTACACAGAGTGACGAGGATAAAGCAGCGTGCCGGTTGTCTGGAGCATCTTGCCATTCCTCCAGCTTGGCTACGACTTTCGGAGAAACCCAAGGCAAGGTCGATCCATCCGCACCGTCTTGGCCATGTCGGGGATTCACCTTGGCCTGGAATGTTGGGTGATGGAGGATCGACACGGATACCCAACTGATTCCTTTCGAGAGTGCGGTGCGTCGCGTATCGCTGTCAACCCAGACCTTTAATCCCTCATTCACATCTTGCTGGCGATTGAACAAATCTGGACGGCGTGCTCTGTCAATTCCTCTGAGAAATAGCTTGATTTCAGGGGCTGCACGAGCTCTGTTATTGCTGCCTACTCGTGAGTGACTACGAGAAGGCCTCTGTCTCGATTTTGGTGCAATAATGACTTCTGCATTGGGGTCCAGCTTAACATATGGTGAGTCTGTTTCGGGTTGAAGAGAAACGACCTTGATATTTGCTGTTGTTGTGGGGGTCAGATGGAGAGTGATTGGATGGTCTGAATGGCGTACATCATCGGAGCGATGGTAACCTGGGTTAGGCAAAGCGCGTACTTGTCTGATCAGGTTAAACTCCAAGAAGCTGGCGTGAAGCTCGATAATCTCCCAGTCCTCCGGCGTAAGAGGCTCGATATTGATGGTGCTAGCCGATGGACTTTCCAAATGCAATGTAATAGTGATCTCTTGTCCTTCAGGAATCCCCAAGGTCTGAGCGAATGCGGCATCAATGTCCACCCAAGATGGTTCTCTAGCATTGGGGCGGTTTCTTTCTCTCCCCAACCTTTGTTGTTCCTCTGATGGGTGAGATCTCTGTCGGCTCTGTAGTCCTGTCCATCCAAGAAAGACGGATCTTGATTTCACATATTCGGCTGACTCCGATGCGTCAGCCGAAGTCGAATCATCATACGAAAGTTCGATCAAGACATTTTGCGACGGCTGAGTTCACGTCAGCATGTATCCAAACGCGACATTGTTCACGAACCGTATTCAGACTATCAAGCGAAGCACATAGAAAAGGTGGCAGATTGGCAAAGCAATTCTGAAGATTAGCGAGAGATATCTTGGCTGGTATAGCCTCTGGTAGATTCAAAGGTACCACGTTTCTGCGTCACGATTGAGAGCGGAAGAAGCGTTGGTTATAATCAGCAATAAAAGCACATGCTTGAGGTGCTTGCATCCTACAATTTCACGCGGGGTTGGACTAACTGCCGAAGCGTCCCGAGTATTTATCCGAGCTTGAAAGAGTCTCACGACCAATGTTGATTGTTGGTCGTGTTGGTCGTGATTAGCAGCGTTTGTGGCTTGATCGTCCTTGTATAACGCGTTGTTCCACGTATACTTGGGCAGCGCATTGTAAAAGCCATGATGTAAAGGTTAATTTAAGTAAGCAATGAACTGAGCCAATGTACAGGATAATTACGATAAGTTCAACTAGTAAGTAGTCGAATAAGATATTTCTGCTCCTTGAAGGTTCAGGTTCGTGTTTGTTGGCGACAATGCTTGTGGCTAGTGAAGACAGGGGTGATAGTGCGTTGCCAGTAAAAGCCACAATAGACGAGAACACGATCTTGAGATGTATTTATATGACAGCTTGTGCCATCACTCTTTTTTACAATGTTCCATCTGTCCAATCATAAGACCAGGTTTCAAGTTCCCAAGGTGTGAGCCGCGTAACTCCTCGGCTTGGTGTCGCCTCTTTACCACGGCCAGGGTCTCCTGCTATTTTTCGCGATAAACTCATGAGGCTGATTTTGAAAAGGTACCCCATAGACCACTGCTCCCCGAGGTCATATAGTCCAGAGGTCTTCAAATTGAATCGTATCTGGCTCTTTCTTGTAGTACATCTCGAAGCATTTATCAAGCTTCTTGCCCCCAGATGAACCACTCAACACTGCATCAAGAAGCAGATTCAAATATCCTGATGTGATTGAATCGTCCTTATTCTCCAATCTTTTCTGGCCTTCCATGACCAGCTTACCATATTAAAGAATAATGGCTTCATAAGGAGATAGAAGTGTGACATGAGATCCGCGATATATGTGATAGAGGTAGTGATCCAGCTTGACCTTCAGCGATGCCCACAAATCAGGATTGGTGATATGAACTTCGGAAGGGTCATGATTAGAATTACTTGGCTCATTTATCTTCTTACGGGGAACGAAGGCAATATTCTCTCTGTGTCGCTCTGTATCCGGAGGTGTTCTATGGTCTGAATCCACTTCACTTGGCTCTCCTGCATATGGGTTCATTTGATGACGATAAGTTTTATTATCGATTTGGATCGTTGCTACGACGAACTGAGATCAGCGTATATGGAGGCTAATGTACACCATCCGTTTAAGGATAGACAATATCCAGTTTCCACCCAAAGTTTTCTTCCAGCTTCCTCACTACAGGTTCCCCAATACGTACAGAATTTCTATGCCCTCTGATAAGCCTGAAAAACTCAGCGTCGGCATCCTAGTCCTCCGCGTCCGTATCCCATTCCCAAGTGTTGAAGATTGTGTCCTTGAAGAAGCATTGAGCAAAGTCAATGAGGAAAACCTGGTGTGAGGTTCGGTCAACAACCACATTACGGGGGGCGCTATCGTCGAGAATTATGCCTCGTTTGTTGATCTCGTGTGCTGAGTCGACTGCATGCTGTACGATAGATAACCACTCTTGTTCGGTTGTGGGGGCGCAAGGTTTGGAAATGAATTCATCTAGAGAGTGGCCTTCGATGGACTCGAGTAAGATGCCATGAATATCAAAGTACGAATTCTTCCTGGTGTTTTTCTTGCCAGTGGCCACAAGCACGGCAGCGTAGAATCTCGGGATAAGGACTCCCTGAAGATCCTGCATACGCATGTATGCCTCAGTCTCAGTTTTATAGTGTTTGTCGGTATATCGCCATAGGAGTGCTTCGAAGCGGGCAACTCCATCTGGCTCTGCGCGAATCTGGCTTGCAGTTCGTAAGTCAGACGTCGAGTCTTCGTCGTCCATCTCTTTGAGGAAAGGGCCCATGGCGCCTCGCTTCAGGAACCCGTGGAATGCGGCCTTGGCTTCTTCACAGTAGGGGATATTTTCGTACCCGCAGTCGCGGAGTCCATTGCCGAATCGACGATCGTAGAGCTTAAGGACGGCGCAACCTTTGTCGAACTTGACACGCACGACGGTAGCCATGGTACAGGTGATGAGCTCGGTAATCTCGACCGAGACTTCCTCGTACTGGGGCAAGACATCGTTGTTGCTCTGAAGAATTTCCAACTTCAGGACGTCGCCGACGTTGTATGCTGCTGTTGTGATCATGCTGGTCAGCGGTTTGGGGCAAGAAGGTGGGAAATGCTGAGAGGGAAACTTACGAGGACCTTCGGCAGGGTTGTCCATGATTGAAGAGGAAATAAGGTGAAAAAAGGAAGGAAGACAACAGTGGATGGTGGTTGTTGGTTTGTTGTGAACAGAAGTTTTGAAAATACAGTCGTGCTGTGCGGCCCTGCTCTGGGGGATGGCTCGCGGAACTCCTTCCTGCACTGGAGTTTGCTGTGAAATCCCACTGTACGTAGGAGTTGTTTATCTGTGGCAGGCAGAACTAGCGGGCACAGCTAGCGGGTGAGGATTCGTCCGCACGCAAGCCCCCCTCTCCCTCGTTGACACTGGCCCGTATTTGTCACTCTGTCCCCTCCTCTGCTCGTTCAGCCTACACTGCCTCAGGCTCCCAACTACAGGAAGTGACAGTCATCCAATTCGAAGCCTTCCTTGAAAGAAACAGTGCTGTTGTTCCTGCTGAACATGTCCACAGACCATGTGAGTCTGTTCCTCCGCCCGGGACGGGGAACTCGCGCGAACATGCAACTTGCCAGACCCAGTACGAGCACGAACTTCTCCTGACATATCTCCATCTTCATCTTCAGCAATTTGGAGACCGCAAGACATGCTCCTGCTTCTGATTCCTGTCATCCCGCGAGTATAAACCCCCCCCCTCGGATCTGCTCAACTCAGACTTTTCAAGCTTCACGTATTCTCCTCCCAACCCCCCAGCCGCCAGCCAATATCTAGTGTTCACCGCGTTCATGCATCCATCTGCAGCTCTTGTTCATGCTCTCCTTGTGGGTTCTCCCGACATCATGCTTTGGTCTCGGTGCCGTTTGTTGACAGTCGCTCATTGACTGAGCGAGTTTGACACTGGGTCGATGAAATGCATTCCAGGACCAGCAATACTTTGCTGACATGTTATTTGACAGCTTCAGGTCTCTTGTCATTCATCACACGAAGTCTCCATCACCAATACCCCTATCGCAAGCTATCGAAATGATCGACCAGCCCCTGACCACGATACGACCAACTACCCACGTCTTCGCACCACGTCTACGAGTCAAGATACCCGTCGTTAACAACGGCAACACGAGATTGTATCGGCCACTGTAAATGAGCCGTCGCCTGGGAGGACGATCATGGAGAATAACGTGCCAGCGACACAAGCAACAAGCTTCTAAACTACGGCAACTGCAGACGAACGAGCGATCGCGAACGTTGGACCTACAGCGCCGTCGAGACAAGCTAAGTCAACTCTGTCTTTCCTACGACAAGGACAACAGTAGCATCACTACCAAGGGGTAGCTGTCAAGGAGGAGCCATTGGCGAAGCATGTCTTTGGGGCCTACCACGTACGGCGAGGCATCTCAGGGATAAACCTCAGTCCGAGGATGAGACTGGGTAGTTGCTTTGCGAGAAGGGATCAAATCCAGACGAGCCTGAAATGGTGAGAGGGATCTGGACGGGCAACCTCTCTGTAGCAGATCTTGCAGAGCTGGACTTCGTGTCCCTCTGTACAGTTTTACAGGCTCCGACCACGACAGCGGGGATCATAGTGGTCGTAGACCTCCGCGAAACTCCATGCTCCGACGTGACAGCGTACTTGGGATGCCTGTGTAGGTGCAATTCGGGCTTACATTGGCACTAGCTAGCGGTGGATGATATAGGAACAAGCTTGATGCAAGAAGTGCTTTTTTCTAGTCACCTCTCATTGTTGTACCCGAAAGATCGCAGCATGTCATCATTTCGAAGTCTTGAATCGAAAGGTTTGTATTCGCGGACAGAGACAATGTGCATACTGGATGGAAAGGCCATTAGAGCCGGCATCAAGTCCTCGAAGGACTATGGGGATGACTGCCGCCTATAAAGTTAAGCTTTAGGCTGCAAACACAGGTGATGAATGAGAACACGATATTCTCTTCCATAAGTCCTCGAAGAACGCTGGAAGGTAGTATTTGTATTTAGTCTCTAACGCTGGAACTCCAGGCATAGAGAGTCTATAGATTTACAGAACGCACAATAACACCAAGCTGACCCATGTAACCGCCATAAAAGTGCCTGTGATTTTCCCAGCACTGTTGCCGACAGTTTCAGTCGCTGTAGCCGCAGCAGCAGTGGTTGTAGCTAGGGGCGTGACTGTTGCAGCGGGCTTGGTAGCCTGAACCTCGATGCCAGAGACTAGACTCGTTGCTGCACGGACGTAGGAAGTAGACGAGAAGGAGCATTGCGACATGATTTTATCAATATCTGTTTCACAAAACATCAGCGAGGAGATCGATACCATGACGCGCTTCGACCTCTTACCTTCTGTGTCCTTGCTGTTCTGCGCCATGCAGCTCGCGCACAGTCCCATCACGCCCTCGACATCGAAGCTCTTGTTCGTACAGATACAAGCCGCTTCGATGGGCTCGTCGTCGTCTTCGTGGTCGAGGATGACAAGGTCCCTTCGTCTGTCGCTGTGCTTCTCAGGACCCTTGGGGTCAATGTCGCACGCGTTGGTAAGGTTGACGATGGGCTGGCAGATTGTCTTGCAAGCAGTGGGTACATCATCTGCGCTGAGTTCCTCGGCAAAGGCAGCGGGAAGGAAGAGAGCCAGTGTGGTGAGCAAGATTGCTGAACGCATTGTGAGCCGAGTTTGCTAAGGTGGATGGATTGTTGATGGTCTTGATACTCGTGAGTTGAAGGGATAGAAGTTGTTCTGGGTAGAAAGGGCCTTACTTATACCGGACAGTTGATCTATCTATAGAGACTAAAGATCTGCATGATCCCAAACGCTCTGTAGATATCGGCAAAGATCAGCCTTGTTGGTGGTGTTCCAGTCGTTTCACAAGCTGAGACAAGCATCATGTCCAAAAATAACTGGAGCTTGAGGACATGGGCCACAGAGCTTAGTCAAAACAACAAGAACATTTGAAAAAGATGAAACTCCTGCTATTTCTTGCCGTTGTTTCAGGAATTCATCGTAGAGTATGCCGTCGATTTGAAATGGCTGGTAAGGTGTTGATGTTATTTTTAGTCTTGGCTTTCTCGGCTACGAACAGCAAAATGTCACACGATCTCCGAAAGGGACTGGACGAAACATGCAGGGTCGTGTTCCCATGTTTCCAAACAAAGATCGAGTCTCGGAACTCGACACTACTGCCAAGGGCCGGAACTTATTTAGATCCGAAATTCATGCTTAAATTTAGGAGACTTCTCAAGAGCCAAGTAGACGCACGAATGCAATCTCGTGATAGGGTTGAAAACCAACTGGGATTCATTGGTCGGAATGATTGATCCCCGACTTACGCGTCTTCCCCGCACAAGCAACGAGGCATCCGCTAACAAGACCATCTGACCTCGAAATACCAACAAAACAAGTCGCCTCTTGTTTCTATTCTCGCCATAGCTCAGACGGCTGCGGCGTCGATACTATGATGAAACTCCAGACGGTGCTCCAGGCGCTGTTAATCGCTGGGGTCTTTGGGGAACCCTTGACTAGTGCGTGATGCCCCACGGCATAGAGACCGCAAGGCACTAACAATAGCAACAGATTCGACCCACGATGTTTCGAGCGGAGACGATGACCCAAGCGTAATGAAGAACCGTGCAGGTTGGGTCAACCCGGAGGACTTGTCACCAATGCCGCAGTGCATCGCGCAACAGGATCAGTCCGCTTGGTTGGATGCCATGACAAAGTGCACCCGCCACCGCTGCACTTCGTACTTCATCTTTTGCACGCACTACCAGTGGCTTACTGAACTAAGTTGTCTGAGCGCCGAATTCTCACCCAGCGTTGTCAAGCGCTACAGCAAATACTGTAGCAGATCTATCCTCGCCAAGGCGCAACTTCATCACTGGATTCAGACGACAACTGGCAGAAGGTGGCTTGTTGATGTTGGAGATACGAATATCTTGCAAAGCCTATCACCCAAAAGCTTGACCGATGGATACGCATCCATAGACATCGCCAACGAAGCGCCAGCGTGTCTGAGAGAGTCGCCCTCCGCCGAGACCCGAGAGACGTTCGACCATGTCATCGGCTCCTGCAGCTTCACGGCTACGACACAACATACCGGGAATGCAGCTCGTCCATGGGAGTACAACAGCCGACGACACTCCATGACACCTCTCAGCTTCGATACTGCAAGCTACGACCTCACCAATAGTCTCATTCCTGCGGGAGAGTATTTTGACAAGGCCTGTTTTTGCAACACCTTTGCTATGCCCCAGCATGAAGAACCATGCGCTTCATCGAGCCCGAAGGATCTTCACACCCAGCGGCGATGGATGAACGAAAGTTGCGGGTACACGTGGCGTAAGCCGCCGCGACTTCAACCCCGTGACATGATCCCATGGCGATGGAGGATCTACCCCAGATCCGCGGAAGGCGATGCGCAATGCCCTTCCAATGAATGGAAGCTGATGAGTATCGGCTTGGTCAACTTGGTAACATTCTTTGCTATACTCCACGCCAACAATTCACGACAGACTCACACCACCAATTCCCGCCCGCTACTCTACAACTCAGCGCGATGGATCTTGGGAGGAGTTCTTCTCGGGTGCCTCCACCTGCTCGCCAATTTAGCCAACACAACTATTGTACAGACTACCCCTGGCTACGAGGATGTTCCCGCCATACAGCTCATGTTACTTTGGTGTTCACTACCTCGCCTCAGTTGGCTTCCCATCTCGTCCCACGGCACCAAGAATCCTGAGTTCCAGGACATGACTTCCTCAATGTCTGCAATGTTTGCGGAAGCGATCCTTCAAGCCTTCTCATTCTACCACATGTGTTTGACCGTAAACTATGGTCGTATACACGATTTTTACTTCGGAGCTTTGTCAAGGGCAGCAAGATCACCATTCACCGCACTCATGTTTGGCGGTGCACTTCTATGGCTGTTCGTTGTTGCGATGATGGCTGTACCTGTCATACGTACGATACGAACTCCCGGCAAGCTTAGTGAGAAAGAAGATGGCGAATCGGGTGCGGAATCAAAGGAGTGTTCCAGCCCAATGGAGGAGGAATGTCTGTTACCAAAGTCGCAAACGGGATCTGAAGGTCACAACTACGGGACCCTTCCTGCTGAAGTCGAGTCTCTTGCTCCGTTCATGAGACGCCATTCACGGCTTCATATGACCTTGGCCATGGGAGTACCTGTACTTTGGCTTGCGCAATGGTTATTCTGGATCGGATTCATCGGACTAAGCTCCCATGATTTCTGCCTTCCATCGGTAGAGACTCTGACGGGCATTTGGCTAGCCTCCTCTTTGGGAAGCGTCATTATTAGATCTTATCTGTGACGGGCGAGCCTAGATGCGCACAAGTTCTGTATCAAACAGCAGAGATTTACTTCCTATGAATATTTACCGTCTTGCAACAAGAATCTTAACCTTAAGTTATGCTTATTTGTGTGATCTTTCGGGCTTCAAAGGTGTTCCGAGGACGCTAAGCTCAAAGTGCCCTCAGTTGGTTCTAGTTAAGGTAGTGATCCTTAGACTCAGCGACCTACGGAACAAATAGGCTGAAGCACGTGGGCGAACCCACACAAAGAAAAGACCCAGTGGCGCAACAACAAACGCCCATGCGTATAAGACCATGATCTCAGCCGCACTACTTCGTATATAAAGCCAAGGTCCAGCACTACTTCTCATTCACTTCACAAGCTCATCTCATATCGTCGCCATGGGTCAAGAAGAAGTCGTTCTGGAGGTCCTCCCCCCTCCTCCGGGTTACTCACCCTCAAATCAAGATGTGGAATTTATTATGCCTACGTCTTTCACCATCCATAAACAAGGCGATTCCGAGGTGAAATTCAACATACGCGGCAACTCCGGCAGCACGCCACTTTCAATCGCATGCACATACAAAAACACAGAAGACGATTTCGAAGCCAGAGTAAATCTCCTCCCTCGAAAGGATGAAAACGCATCGCCACTAGCAACAGTAAAATACTCCCGCCACAGCGCTGAGCTCGAATTCACCAACACATCTTCTCCTGCACATATCACCATGCACTATCGTCTCTTGGGCGATAGAAACGCAACTCATTCTTTCAACGTCAACGCGCCGCAGCGAACAAGTTTTGAGTGGAGAAATCTTGGCGATGGTGAAGGATGGAAACTGTACATGGGCTCGAGGCCTGAAGTATTGGCGGTAGGTGCGCTGAATATGGGTTCTGATAAACCTACACGATTTGAATTTAAAGACTTGGAGATGGCGAAGGAATTGGATGAGCATTGTAAATTGGTGATTGTTGCGTCGTGGTTGAGGATCTGGGACAAGGTTAGGATCCAGTTTAGACGTCCGCCTGATGAGGGTGAGACATAGATGATATTATGTAGCTGCGGCCTCTGCGTGATTCTGTAGAGCCAGTATATTTTTTATTGATCTTTACTTGTTTGTGTAGACCACGGACTCGACGATAATCTTTATTGATGTACTAGCAATCGTTGTACCAGGTACAGATACTCGAATGCATAATCAACAGTTCAAGGGATATCGTTGATCCGGCCCGTTAAGATTGCCTGGCCAAGCGAGGCGCCCTAACAAAATGCAGCCAATGAAGAGACACGGAGACTCATCCGTCTTGCATTCCACTCCCGAGCCTGAACAACCCAACAAACCCATTTCCCCATGACGCAACAATTTGCGAATCCCCCCTTCAACATGAATGAATCCATCGATGGAACCCAGCCAAACACGTCAAGTCCGTGCATGAATTAAGTTACGAGTCGAATCTACCATGAACTACCATCCACTTTTACCCCGCGCTCCAACCAATCCATCAAACGAAGCTGTCCCTACTCCCGCACCCAAAAGACGCGCTGTCGCTGTCGCTTGCGACTCATGCAGGGGCCGAAAAGTCAGGGTATGTCCCCCTTTCGCCCCTTTTGTGAACAGATGCTTACTTATTAATAGTGCACCGGCGAGTTTCCCACATGTGTTGCGTGTCAGCGCCGTGGGGGCGAGTGTCGCTATGCTGATATTGCTAACGACCGTGAAATGCACTCGAATCAGCTCAAAAAGAGGGTCAAAGAATTGGAGGATGAAAACAGAAGCTTCAGAACCTTGTTTGAGACTTTGAGGAGGCCAGGCGGTAAGACGAATCAGGAGATATTACAAAGGATACAGGCTGGTGATGATATTGGAACCGTCATTGAACGCGCTCAAGATCTGGGCTACAAAGGAAAGCGGAATAGATCCCCGTCGCCGAGTTTAATGGCTAGACAACGGCCATCTGAGTGGACGACTTTCCGTGCCATTTTACCCGAAACACCGATCGCTTCTCCTGCAGCAGTCCATGCTACTGTGCTGCCTATTCCCGCCTCACCATCTCCCCCTCCCCTTCACTCACCCCCGATTGATACACCAAGCTCACCAAAAGATGCTATCCTTGGCCTCTTGACACTCTCCCAAGACAGGAAACCAGATCTCGTCTTGCTCAATGAAGCCCGCCCCAAAGAACATTGCGATCTTCGCTTAAACGACCTTTCCGTCTCGTTCTGGACACGTGTACCGATCAGTGACCGATCTGCGTCAACGCTCATCTCAGCTTTTCTCGAGACAGACAACTCGGCTGTTGGCTTCATTGACAAGGATTTGTTCCTCACAGATCTGGTACAGCACAACCCGACATTCTGCTCTGCCTTTCTCGTCAACTCAATACTGTACCTCGCTTGCGTAAGCAACCCTCTTGTCTCCTTGTTTCACCCACTAACGCCTCGCCAGTTTGCTCACACCGCGTCCGATGGTAGAGCAGCTACACTTGCACACAGCTTTTTTAACGACGCAGAGCGACTGTATCGCGCGGAAAGACTATCCGACAGTCTCACGACCCTAGCAGCCATCAACATATTCAGCTTAGGGTGCTTCTCTCATGGGAACGACAACTTGGGCCAGGATCTCCTCTTATCGGGACGTCAGATGGGGAAACGTATGAATCTATATGGTCTTGATCCTACACGTTCAGAGGTGAGGGGGTTCCACGAGTTATCATCTGATAGTTCAGCGTCGCAGGCCTCCTGGGGGACTTTCAATTGGTTGACGGAGGTGAACTCAAACTTTACTGAGTGATTTCAGCTCACCTTCTTATGAGAGTGTAATAGCTCGATATGCTAAGTTCAGATCAAAAACTTTGAGCACTTCGAGCTGGAAATTTACCGTGGTTATTGATTACGTGTTTGAACATTTGACTTTCCCTCCCCACCCAGTGAAGGTTATAAAGCCAGCCACTGGCCCTGCAAAATTCAATTTGGTTCTTTTCTCTCTAGTTTTCCCTCTCATTCCAGTTCTCTGCCGTACTCACATCAACACCATGCCCTCCTCTCCAGAAACAACAGCTTCGTCGGTCTCCACACCACATCATACTCTTCCTTTCGACGTCGAGATCATTATAGCCAATGATTTAATAGAGCTCTACAAGAGAACCGGCAAACGCCTGGCACCTTTGGCCACAGTCTCTGAAACCTGGCAAAACCTCGTGGAGAAGCACACTTTTCAGGACTTAAGACTAAGTGAACGGGACCTTCTCGCCTTCGAGAGGTATACTCATTCAGAGCGGCTACAACTTGTCAAGTCCATCACCCTCAAAGTCATTCGAGTTGTCCCCTCGCGTAGATCCCGCGACTGGAATTCCCTACCAAGTTTTTTCCATCACGTAGTTTCCACAACTACAGCTCTCGAGTCTATACACATTGAGAAATGTTGGAATGAGTTTGGCGTGTGTGGCGGTCGTGGTATGTGATTTCCTCCCCCCCGACTTTCTGTGATGCTGAGACTTGAAAGCTTTTCCGATCTGTTTCAAGTTGCCAACTTCGGTGAAACAACTTTCCTATTTCCACGGCGTTAGCAGGGGCTATCAAATGAATATTGATCCAACCAATTTGGAGCTACTGGGCCTCATTTCGCGAGCCGTGGATCATCTTGAGCATATCGCCGTGTCTTATGCATTCAGCGCGAACCACTTCTTTGATCACTGCAAAGGAATAGAGTTTAAACGGCTAAAAACACTGGCACTGACCTATCGTTTCAACGGAATCCCTAACATTGGGCTCTTGAAGAATGCTTCAGAAGCAGCCAAGAGAATGCCCGCGCTCGAGATGCTGGAAATATGGGAGTTCGGCCTGCCAGGACCGCCAGTTCATATCTTTAGGTACGAGAAGCTCGGCGAGACCAGGGGCCGTATTAGTTGGCAGAGCTGCGGGAACCACAGGCTCCCTGACTGCATATACAGTGCGTGGAAGAAGAAGTCAACTGGTGGGAAGGTTTACGTACTCGAGGTTGTGGAGGACCGATTTGCCCGCCACGATGTCATAACCTTTTCGGACCTTGTGCCACATTTGAGGCTAAAGGGGCAGATTCTGCGTGAATCCACTATGAAACAGGTTTTGGAACTCACAAAATAAACCAGATATCTTATTTTTATGAATCACAAACTGCCCATTTATATCAAATTGTACGCCATAAATCTCATGAGCTTCGCCTCATTCTTTTCTTTTTCTAGCATACATCTAGCATACAAGTGACCTGCGGTTGAGGGCTTATGAGCTTTGATCACTGCCTGGGACTTGGCTGGTATAACCTTGATTTCTGACTCATTCAGCTTTTTGTGGTTATAAACTCTCAGCCACAGGCCCCGACGGCGAATAGCATATCTTCTGTCTATCATGACACGTGCTGGGTCATCTAGGGGATTACTCGGAGGCTTTCTATAGGTGTCATGGATGTGTCGAACATCAGAGTTCTCCAATCAACTACACAGGGCGTAAACCCACAAACTTAGTTTTCAAAGTATCCTACCAAAAGTCTGGAATTGGCTTCCTCCCCTCTTCTCTTACAAGCTTAATTTCAAGTATAAAATCACTCGATAACCCAGAGTAACAGATCTCTAGGTCACTCATCACGTTTCAGGATAACCATCCCTTATGCCGATATCTACGCTGGCAGATGGCAACATGAGTTCTCCCACCACAGCCGTTATGTGCAGTACGACGCCTTACGCCAGGCTCCCTCTCGAGATTGAATTATATGTCGTCCAGGCGCTGATAGAGACTCATAAGAGATCGGAGAAGCCAGGGTTTTGCTTATCGACCTTTGCTAGCGTTTCCAAACCCTGGCAACCTCTCATAGAGAGGGAAACATTCAACCATATAAAGATAGCATCACACGAGCTAGGCTTATTCAAAACCCGTGTCCGATCCTACCGAACACGACTTGTCAAACATATTCTTCTCGAGATCCCATATAACGTCTCCTCGAGTGGCGATGATGACCAGGTTCAGTTTTCGAAAGCAGTGCACGCTCTTTGGCGTATTCTCTCAACATGGAAGACACACCGTGTAACAGTGGAGCTGGGCATCTTCTCTACTGAAGCAAGGCAACTCATGGAAAAATGTGATCGAAAGGGCGCCCACGACTACCCTTTTAACCCTTGGAAAACCCTCAACCCACACTTCTTCCCTACCATTGACGTTTGGAGACATAAAGGTCAGCAATTCTTGGGCAGCGAGCCTCTTGGATTTGACCGAGCTTCCTTATCACAACAAAGTGCTACGAGTTTGCCTCACGTTGACGCCATCACGGAGCTAGTGATTCGGAGAGAATATCACCCAAACATCGCTCCAATGACTCTCCATGAGATCATCTCGTCTACTCCCTGTATTGAATCTATTCATCTTGAGAGATGGCTATATGCCATTTGGGAACAAGACAGAGATTGGGATCGTGGTATGTATCTCTTCTTTCCTGTACTTTTCCAATGTCCACAATACCAACATCTCATAGCTTTCCAGCAGTCAGGGCTTTTAGTGCCGGAATCGACAAAACGGTTCGCCTATTTTGAAGAATACCTTCCTCCATATTACCACTGGGCTGGGGGAATGGTCATACCACGATTAAACAGAACAGTTCTGGAATCCGTCTTCCACGCCGCAGATCGCCTTGAGCATATTGCTGTCTCTTTTGCTTTCGATGCACAAATATTTTTCGATGAGCTCATACAACCGAAGTTTAAAGTACTGAAGACTCTCGCAATTACATCTTCTTTCAGCGATACTCTCAACGATACATCCGAGAGTCTCTTAGTTAATGCTGCAGAGGGAGTAAAAAAGATGCCTGCTCTCACAATTCTGGAGATATGGAATCTCAATAAATATCGTCAAGCTGATGTTTTCCGGTACGAGAGACTGGATCGACGCAATGGCCAACTCACTTGGCAAAGCACCCAGGACCGCCGGATCTCGTCACGCGTACAAAAGGGCTGGAAAGATCTGTTGGGCAGATTTCCGAGTGTTTTGGATGTAAAATGCAGCAAATTTCCGATGGAGATGGAAAGTCTTCGGGATATTCTACCATATTTGAAGTTGAGGGAGCAAATTCTTCGTGACTTCACCGAGAGGTAGAATTAGGTCTTAGGGACTATGATCAGAGCCCTGGGTTAGAAGCTCGGGTCTGTACTGGATAGGGTTTTCTGTGTTTTCACTGCGGAATAAAATCTTCACTGAGTTCCTCTTATCCCGAACGCTGTAAATTATGTATTAATGACTATACTGACATTGAACATCCAAGACATTGCGACTAATAACATGAATCTTTACATCTAAACCATGCTGCTATGTACTAGTGCCAAAGATCTCCATTGCTTAGTTGGGAAGGTTGGCAGGGGTATAAGACTGATCAGGCTTAACAACCTTTCCGCTCTGGACCTGCTTGTCGGTATAAGCGGGCCAGACAATCTGTCGCTTGGAAGAAACAACAGAGAAAGTGGTGAATCCGTTTCCAGGGCCGAACTGGCCGCTCCAGCCAGAGGTGATGGTGAAGTCACCGCACTTGACTGGTCCTCCGTTACGCTGAGACGCCTTGCTGCCCTTGACGACGTACTTGCAGCCGGTGGCGGCACCCTTGTGGGTGTCGATCTTGAAGTTCCAGGTGCAGGAGCTGTCGTCCTTGGCGCAGCTTCGCTGCATGTTCTCAATGGTCCATTGGGGGCTGGCGGCCATCATGTTGACGGCGGGAGCTGGGGCAGCGGAGACGCTGGTGGCCAGGATGGCAGCGAGACAGGCGAGAGAGAACTGCATGATGATGGTTGAGGAAGGCTGTTTGGTGGTTCTGGAAGATGTTAGTGTCTGGAGAGCTAGACTTGATTGAGGTCGCTTACTATTAAAGTAGTTGAGTGTTGGTAGCGATTGTGATTGAAGCGAGTGAAGAGTGATTGAGTTGAAGCTGATGAGAAAACAATTTACCAGCAGTGCATCACTCTCCTTATATACTTTTTCCTCCTCGCGGAATGTAACATTTCAATCATGAGACGATAATACGACCTTTCGCAGTATACGAGTTTGAGGCTCTGAAGCCCATGGCATGACAGATCAGCCATGAGAATCTCGAAGGGTCCATCCAAGCCATAGTGCCGCTCCGTCCGGGGCTACGACCCTGAATTACCACGCTAAATCCCCAAGTTAAGCCTTCACGTGGTCAAAGGCGAGAATCTCGTACGGAACTATAGCATGATCTACCTAGAAGTGGTTAGGGACATCTCGTATTTTCGTTCGACAACCAGTTAGAACCGTCGCTATTTTTGGCCCAGGTCTAGTCCCCTTACAGGCAAACCACGGGGACCTTGAGTGACTGTTCGTATTGTTCACCGATCATTCCACGCCGTAGATTATTGAAAAGGCTTGTCCCGATGCGTAGAGAACCTGCTCAGAGTAGGTCTATTTCTGAATACCACGTTCCAATTAATGACGCCGTGGCTGGGGAAGTAGATCGTCTCTTCGGCTCATCGGCATCAATCGTGTCAGGGGTCAAGGGTCTCGGGCTTACCCGCTCCCCAGATTTAGCCTTTTGTTGCTACCCTGTGACGTTACAGCTGCTTGGGCTTTATGTCACGTTGGCTTCTGGATGAGGAGAATGCCGTACATATTTGCGATGGGCTTTGCAGAGGTTCACAAATGCCGATGGCTTGCCTTGCATTCACGGCTTCTTCGGAAATCCAACAGTTCTCGAGCAACAGAGGCTAAACTCGCGACAAATAATATGGGAGCGGATTGTTCTCTTTGTCCTTTTTTGGACGCGTTCTGCAGGGAGAAACGCAGGGAAGAAGTGTCTCTATCATAGACAAATTTATTCAGTCAGCAGCGTGCAATGAATGACTACGCATTTATTCGGTGATTCAGCCTCACCATTTAGGGTTAAGCATATCCCGCAAGGCATTGCTGAGACCTGTTTGGCGGAGCCGTTGCTCCGCTTGTGTCTAGTGGATGCTGCGAGCATTCCAATGTTGGCTCAGCTCATGCCCGAGCAAGCCGCCTTCACCGCCAACGACTTCACCCCAACAAACTATCCGAATAATCTTCCATTCTAAACTCTCTTGTTGGCCGCAAGGGTAGTCCAGACTTCTCGTAAGCCATATCGATCATTCTCGCCTGCGCAATGCTGTCTTCATGGCCGACCCAGAGTCCAGAACCTTGCTTCCCACGAACACGGTTCACGAACTGCTCCAGCAAATGGCGATATGATGACCAAAACGGCTCACTCGGCTGATCAATCCCGGCATCTTTGAATGTATAGACCTTCTTGGATTGTTTGACTGTCCATTTCTTCAAGTCTTTATCATTCCTGTCATCCCGAATGGTGTACTCGTCCACGATGTCAATGCGGTGCCAAAAGGATGATATAAGGAAGTTGCTGACGCTCAGCTTCCTGAGCTTCCATTTAGTCTGTTCTTTTGGGAGTGTCATATCGTCCAACTTGATTTCTTTATGACACACTGATATATTGAATGTTGGAAAAGTGGTGATTGATGCTCGTGGCGTTAATTATCACGTTTCCCATTCGTCCATTCGGGAAACGAAATCTTGTCTTAGCAAACTCATCGGAGAGATCTCCTGGAGGAGGGACGCTTCTAACTTTGCATGACATACATTCTTCAGGCTCCTCTCCCATGATCTGACGCAGTGCATACATAGGGTATGTGCCGAGATGAAGCATAGTACCGCCACCCAAGTTGTATTCTAGCTGTGCATTACCCTTGGGTATAATGTAGGAGGGTAATAGTGCAACGGTATCGACAGTTTGTATGTTCTGACGGTCGACCAGGCTGAGGAAATATTGCCAGCTCGGCTGGAAGCGAAAGTGCATTGCTTCGAGAAGAACTGATGCATTAGGCTGTCGTAGCAATGGCGAACGGAATAGCATCTCTGCTTCAGCTGCATTGACCGTGGCTGGCTTTTCAAGTAGCACATGCTTTCCTTTGGCGATTGCTTTGATGGCCCATTCACAGTGTAAGGTAACGATAAGGGGGATATAGACGGCATCGATGAAGGGGTCATCGAGAATTGCTACATAGACAAAGTTAGCTTAGCAAAGAATCATGGATAACTGGAAATTTCGACCTTGGTAACTGTTGAAAACGTGAGGAATATTGTGCTTTTTGGCATATGCCTCGGCCGTTTCCTTGTGACGAGCCGCTACAGCATAGATCTTAATATCGGGGTGAGATTTCGCCGGTGTGATCAAAGCAGTTGCACTTATAAACCGTCAGTATTACTGGCTCGAGACTCTAAATGACACGGCTAGTTACGCAATATTTGCTGCACCAAGAATTCCAAACTTTATAGCGTTGGCGTTCTTTGGTGGCTCTGGGGGAGAGTAAGCCTGCCAATTACAGCGGAGGAAGCCGCCGACTGAGGACATGATGATATTGAGTCAATCTGAGCAGCATGAGTTTATGATTGTGGAAACTATCATGGCATCAAATGCGCTCTTTATAAAATTTCATATGTCTATGGTTGACAAAACATGTCTCTTGCTTTGCGTAGTACATCTTACAGGACCTGACCATTATACCAAGCTGAGCCTAGCTCCAGACTCCTGCTGGTGTCATGAACCTGACCTTTTTGCCTCTTTCGGTATAGCCTCAGATGATCAACGACTGTTGATGACAAACTCCTCGACATGCGACTTTACTCCTGTATTCCCCTGTTGCCTTTACAAACCTAACTCATTCATTTCTGAGAAGACTGGCGCGTACATTGAATCAGTCATGCCAAATTCAGCGGTAGAAACCGACTCGCCTGATGGCGCCACACTATCCAAGATTGGACTGAGTGATGCAGCGGATGAAGCGGCCAAACGAAGAAAGAAAATCCAGAATCGACTCCATAAAAGAGCTTCTAGTATGTGCTCCACTTCTATTGATGGAGAGAATTCTTATACTGCAGTTTAGCTTTTTATATACTCTAAACGCCATCAGAGGACTAATCGCTCATGAAGCTGACCACGTATACCAGGGTTACGTAGAGTGACAGGCGATAAGTCGAAACTCAGATACTCGCGATGCAGTTACCAAGTCAATCGATGGAGGCTTGATGAGCTCAGTACAACTAAAGCTCCTAGAGGCCCAAAAGGATCTACTGCAGTCCCGGACACGAGAGCGTCAAATAGAATAGAGGAAAGCAGCAGCTTTGCAACACTGGACCAGGAGCTATGGTTTCCGCTTCCCATCGATCATCTAATTCATCTCGTCAAATACAACGTGTTTCGCGGGCTTTGGCGGAACAAATTTATGGTGGATAGCTTGACGGTGCCATATTGTGCTCCAGGTCCATCCATCGCCACAAGCTTCGCCTTTCCCAGATATTCCTCTCTGCTTCCTAAAGCACCAGAATATCATGGTTCATTGGCACCAACTCAAATTCAGATGAGACTCAATCACTTTTCGTGGATCGATTGTATTCCTTGTCCGATAATGCGGGAGAATCTCATCAGCCATGAGTTCAGTTTTAGCCATGTTGATTTTCTGAGAGATCTAGTTGGGACTTTGATCAACTTGGACCTGTTCAAGGCACCGTTTTTACCTGTTACTACCCATGATGGAAATGTTTCGGACGGTTTGGAGACAGTGGCTGCAGGCTCAGGACTTATTCTTTGGGGAGAACCTTATCTGATAGACAGTTGGGAGATAACACCAGACTTCTTGCTGAAGTGGGGGTGGACGATTATGAATTGTCAGGAATTGGTTAACTCGACGAATTATTGGAGGATGTCGAGAGGGGAAACACCACTACTGCTACCATGAGCCATCGATGTCCTCAAATCAGGATGTTGGCTTGAGCTCATCCTTCAATGTTCCAATAGGATCTTGTGTCTGATGGTCACCCCAACTGGCATCCCATCCATTCTCCTCGAGATAATTCTTCCAGATCTGATCCTCTTTTTCTAGATGCTTCTCGCCATCTTGGACAACGAACCATGCATTAAGTGCACCCAGAACTGCGAAAGCTGAGCCAATCAAGAAGACCACCTGATTACCCTTGACGGTATCGGTGTATGAGCTGAGGATGGCAGTGAAAACCTAATCAAGTTAGCAAAGATAAGAAGCACAGGTACGACGGGTACGACTTACCTGAGTACCGATGGCAGCACCAGCTTTTGACCATGCAGAGATGAAACCGAGGGCATGTCCTCGAACAGAAGTTGGGAATGGCTCAGTCGCCACAATGACAACAGTACTGCGGGAAATGTTAGCACAACAGGTCTGATATGGATCATTGAGCGTTCACAAACCTTCCAGGGCCGACTTCACCTAGAGTGAGGAAGATGCCATATAGAACCACGAATAGCGGGAACACTTTCTGAATCTGCTCATTCGCACCACCAAGCACGAAGCCGAGAACAGCCTGAAGAGTGTAGCCCAAAGCCATGGTCTTTCTTCTTCCAATCTTATCAGACAGGTATCCTCCAATGAAAGGACCCGGGAGGTAGAAACTATTAATCAACGCTCCCCAGCCGAGGTTCTGGACAAGCGAGTTCGAAGCATTTACTCTTGAGATGATAACAGAGCTGAAGATGCCAAAGGGAATCGAGATCCAGTTATACAGGAACCAGCTCAAAGCCGCGCCAATGATACGTCTCCAGTACTTCTTGAAGATTAGGAAGTACGGCGTCCTTTGTTTCCGAAGAGCTGAATTTCGGTATGCGGTCGATACCCTCATCCTCAATCGGAACCAGAAGATAGACAGTGGCGGGACAGCGCCCAGAGCAAGTGCAACTCTCCAGACAGTCTCATATCGATCCGTTCTCTGATGTACACAGAGCAGTAACAGCAATGGAACGAGCGCACCGAAAGTATATCCCAGCCCAGCAGAGAGATCAGCTACCATGGCAAACATGAACCCTCTCGATTTGCGAAACTGGCCATCTTCATCAGAGGCTTCCATTGCACCAGCGCCTGACACGGGATATTCTCCTCCAGCACCGACGCCAGCTATTCCACGGGCGATGACGAGCATCCACATCAGCCCGGTTGTGGTCAACCCGCTTGCGCCAGCGCTCAAGGCGATACCGAGAAGGAGGATAAGCGTTGTCATGACGGCGCCGGTTTTGCGACCCAGTTGGTCTACTACCACGCCAAAACCTATCATACCGACAATCATGCCGATAAGAAAGGCGTTGGAGAGGCGGGATCGCATTGTTGATGTTAGGGCTTCGGGATAGAGGGTTGCGAAGAGGAGCTCGAGGTTGCCGATCACAGCAGCATTGCTTGTTTCTTGTCAGAGCCTGCATGGAGAAGAGCATCGTGGTGTTCATGCTTACTAGCCATCTGATCCCAGGGCAAGACCGGAGAAGACCATGGTCAGATACACCGAGACCTTGCTGTACAGATCTGGCTTCCTGACATCCCCGATCTCGATATCTTGGATGTCTTCTACCCTGGCCTTCTTTGTGTCGTCAAGGTCATGACCCGCCGTTGCGGGTGTGATCTCAAGAGCCGACATACTGTAGACAGAGCGAAAGTGCACTCTTCTTTGGCGTGGGATGATGGGGGGGAAATGTGTCACATACGATCAAAAGATCGACGAAGCTCAGATACCGTGGTCACCTTTAACTTAATACAAAAACATTCAGCGATCTTATCTGAGACCTGGAAATAAGGAACCAAGCTAAATACCGTCTTATCCGACGGCAGCAATTCTATACGCCGCCCATACGCGCTGGAGACAGTGTCTCGCTATATAATACCTTATCGGCGAACTCTGACCGGGTATTAAAAGTGCAACCGAAGGGCCTGTAATTGACGATAAAGCGATGCTCAGAAGGGTAATTGTATCCTTGGTTCAGCGATAAGCATCACTATCAATCCGTATGGAGTCGTGATCTGCATGAATGGGGGCGGGGTTCGTTTGAAGAGCGGGGAATAACATGATAATCGGTCGCGATGTAACCCGGAACTCGGCCGCTCGGCGTAGCAAATGGTTTTTGTGAGATTGAGATATTTAGGAGGTTGGCCGACGGTGATTAGATTGCCTTCCTAGAGGAGTAAGCTGCTCTGTCAATTGAGGCGGACTTTTCTCAGCTAACTTATTCTTGACATCGTTTCTATATCCATTTTCAAGAAAATCGAGCAAGGCAGAACAAAGTGAGGCAATTGCTTCATACTTGGAGTTGGACCAGTATTCAAGCTGGTTTCACAAGCAGCAACAATGCAGCTTCCAGGAATTGACATCATCTATCATGAGCCCATCACCCTGAGTGATGGGACCGTCTTGTCAGCCATGATATGGCTACCCAGAAACGCCAAATCACACCCCGTCCCAGCAATTCTCGAATACTTGCCATACCGAAAGCGAGACATGACTGCCGTGCGTGATGCCATGAACCATCCTTATGTCGCAGCTCATGGCTATGCCTGCGTCCGCGTAGACATGCGAGGAACTGGTGATTCTCAAGGTATCCTAAGAGGCGAATACCTACCGCAAGAACAAGATGATGCTTTGGAGATTCTGAATTGGATCGCTGCGCAATACTGGTGTACAGGATCCATAGGCATGATTGGTATCTCGTGGGGCGGCTTCAATGGATTGCAAGTTGCGGCTCGTCGACCACCTGAGCTCAAGGCTGTTATTTCCATCTGTTCGACTGATATGCGCTATGACGACGACATTCATTACATGGGCGGCTGTATCTTGACCGAAAATCTCACCTGGGCTGCTTCTATGTTTTCAATCAACTCGTCGCCTCCCGATCCTGCAATAGTTGGTGATCAGTGGCGAGATCTCTGGCTAAAGCGACTTGAATCAGGCGGGCTTTTCGCAGAAGAGTGGCACCAGCATCAGAGGCGTGACGACTTTTGGAAGCATGCGTCGGTCGGAGAAGATTACAGCTCCATCCAATGTCCCGTTTATCTCGTGGGCGGATGGATGGACCCTTATACCAACACGATCTTCAGAATGTTGGAGAATCTGAAGGTGCCTAGAAAAGGCCTTGTTGGTCCTTGGGGACACAAGTACCCTAACTTCGGATATCCAGGACCTCAAATTGGGTTTCTGCAAGAGTCTATTCGGTGGTGGGATAAGTGGTTGAAAGGAAGCGAGACGGGAATCATGCATGAGCCTATGCTTCGATGCTATCTTCAAGATACAACCCCTCCTGCACCGTATATGGAGCATCGTCCTGGGCGTTGGGTTGCTGAGGATGATTGGTCCGATTCCAAGTCTTCCTTGCTGCGTTTGAGTCTCTCGCCTGGTCAGTTGACAACCGGCAATCCAAGCAGCGATGAAAAGCTTGGGATCTGCTCTCCTCAAACAGTGGGATTTGCAGGTGGCAGATGGTTAGTCTTCGGCGTCGAAGGTGAAGGTTCCGGTGATCAACGTCTGGAAGCTGGAGGAAGTCTCTTATTTGATTCACAAGTTTTGACCGAGCCTATGGACTTTCTCGGAGCTCCCATCTTGAAGTTGCGCATCGCGAGTGATAAAGCAAATGCGCTGATAGCAGCGACCTTGTCGGAGGTACTACCCAGTGGCGCAGCAACCAAGGTCTCCCATGGCGTTCTTAACTTGACGCATCGCCATGGCCATGAAGATGTGCAACCTCTAGAGCCTGGGAAGTTCTATGACATTACGCTCAAGTTGAATCACTTTGGACAGCGTATCGGCACTGGAAGTCGCCTTCGACTTGCCTTGTCCTCGACATACTTCCCCTTGGTCTGGCCATCACCCGAAGTCACAACTCTCGCTATAGACTGTGCCCACAGCACTCTAGATCTCCCCAAGCGGGACGATAACCCTCAGGACTCGTATCTCAAACCTTTCAAACCATCAGTCAACGGATCCCTCTCACAAACTGAGCTTCGACCTGCGAAACACAGAAACTACGTCACCAACGATTGGGACTCTGGCGAAACAGCTCTTTGCGTTGACTGGGACGATGGTATGTGGGAAGTCAACGAAACAGGTTGGAAGTATGGATGGTGGACAGGCTTGAAGTCGAGTGTGAAGCCAGACGATCCGCTGTCAGCCGAGGTTGAGCAGCGATTTCAGAGGGACTTTGAGAGGGATGATACTGTTATCAAGACGAAAGGCTGGACGAAGATGAAGATGACGAAGACTGATATGATCATTACAGCTCGTCTTGATGCATACGAGAATGGGAAGGCTGTCTTTGGAAAAGACTTTTCTTATACGATTGCTAGGGATAACGTCTAAGACGTCGATTTTCTAAGATTAAAAACTTCGCTTTTCAATATATCAGTACTTGCCACTGTCGACTTCGTGACTGCACGTTTCTCGAGCTTGCCATTATAACTATTGTTGGTTCATCGGGCAGATCACGTGCCATTAGGCAGCATCGGCATCGTTGTCACCTCTTGACGCATAATTAGTTCTTTGATGCTCTTGTGTTGAATACTACACTACGAAGTTCAAGCTACTCCTTGCTTATGATCATGAGCCACCATCATCTTGAGGAACTGTGCAGCGGAATAGGAGATGAGATTTCGATTTATATCCGCTGGAATGATGCTCGCCTTATTGTTTACCTGAACCGCTCTCAGACAAGCACGGATGTCACTTCAATTGAGAACACTTTCCTCGATAGATACTATGAGGCTTGTAATAACGACGACATCGAGGAAGCTGAGGCTCTCTCCGATGAAATTCTCGATGCTGTCGTCGAGGCTGGAAGAGATACTTTCGACCATCTGGCCCCTCCACCTGCCCCTGGAGATACATTGTCGCAAGACCTTCACACTCTATTGTTTCCCAAGGAGTACTCCTTTTCATTTCAAGACTTAAATGGAAAGGCAGAAGTGGTACGGAAAGATAGTGGCGCCAGACAAGACTCTATCCTCCTTGGTCAATCTGGCCAGCCATTCCACCTCAAAATCGACAAAGATTGCAACCTACCAGTTCACTCTACGAAAGAAATACATGTCGTCGAAAACCTTCTCAACGCAGGTTATATCGCCCGCGTGCAAGTCGAAGGCAAAGAGATGTGTTCAAAGGCTGGAGATAGCAAGGGCGAGGATGCCGCACAACGAGAGCTTGAGTGTCTCTGGAAAATTACGAAATCGCCCCACGCAGCTGCCATTCAGGTTCCCAAGCTCCTTGGTCTGATCACAACACCCGAAAATGGTAAGACTATTGGGTTTTTGGAGGAGTATATCCCAGTCTCTGAGACTTGGGAACTATCAACACTTGGAAGCATTGATGATGTCTCTGAGATTGATGAGAGCCGTCGAAAGAAGTGGGTATCTCAGGTTCGGGGCACTGTCGATCTCCTACATAAGACCGGGATTACATGGGGCGATGGCAAAGCATCTAATGTATTGATTCATCGCGAAACGGACGATGCGTGGGTCATTGACTTCGGGGGCGGATGGACGGAAGGCTGGGTAGACGAAGAGTTAAGCGGAACGGTGAAGGGAGACGAGGTCGCTATCAAAAAGATCATGGAATACCTGCAAATTTCGTAGCTAGCAAGTAATTGTATCGTAGTATCTTTGCCTAGCGCTTGCTCTGGACTGCCTTAGAAGCTATCTTACCGCTCATGAAATAGAATTGAGCCATGAAGCAGAATTTTCAAAACCTGCAGTGTTGAGAGCACAGTGTATTCATCCTGCCAGGGACAGATCAGCGGGAACTATTCAGTGGTGCATGGGCAATTTTGGTATGAGTAGTTCAGGTCACCATTTCGCCCTCTTCCGAAGCCAAATTAACGTGGAATGCTATAATTGCCCACCGGCCAGTTTCAGGCAAATACATTATGCGGTAATCGAGCTGCCGTAATGACGACTCGGGAGTCTTCACCGACAGGCATTTCAGCTGCTGTCTCACCAAGAGCCTCCCTGTCTTGGCACCTAATTCGAGATAGCTGCATCTTGACGGGTGTCGTGGTTGGCCGAATCTGAGACACGGGTCATAGCGGGCGGCTGAAGCCGCAGGGCCGAAGATCACCTTCCTGCATGGGACTGATCAGCTCGGAACTATCGAAAGCCACATATGCTGCTGTCACTCACTAGATTGGGCTTTAATGCATCGAAATATTTCGTTTGACAGAGCTCCATACCTAGACGCTAAGAGCTGGGGTTTCGGTGGACATGACACCAGTTACAGTCCATCCACGAAACCGAGCAGGAGTAATTCTCAAATCTCAGTCCCGTACGTATTGTAGCAATGCAACTGGCCAAGCCCTTGTCGCTATTTTGGCACGCATCATGACCTCAATGACTTCACACGAATACTGCCTTTGAGGATCCCTTGCTGCAATTCTCGCCGGCCGGGTTCGTTCCGACCTGCAGGTCTCAGTTTTCGTGAAGACATGCTGCATATCAACCCCACTACCAAGTCTTGCGGCATTCCGCGCCGTGTGATGAGACAATATTTTACGTACGAGTTGTTGATCTTGTCCATCTATCTGCCAAGGGAGACAAGTCATACGTCAGTCAACCGGTAAAGATACAAGTCTGAAGGCTATATAAATTGACGGCATGTAGGCTCATTTGATGGGGTCCAAAACTCTCTTCTTAAGATCACCAGATTAACACCTTTGATAAATCAATCATCATGCCTAAGGAAAACGACGATATCCGGGACAAGGAGTTCGATGCTGTCCACGCATACTTCATTGGCCCGAAGGGCTCCAACCTCCCAGATTTCCGGGCCAACATCAACACCATTCTCGATGAACTCCTCGCCGCTCGTCAAGCTTACCACCCAGAAGACCAGGTCAGCACCCTTCGCCTTCCCTGTTTCCCCCCTCTGACATCCCCAGGCCTTCATCTCCAAAGAATACCGCCGCTCCCCGGTCTTCCTCAAAGCGAGATCCGATCTCCGCCTCGCCACCGAAAAGGTCGCACAGCTTCTTGGCGAGCACTCAGCTCCCTTCTGGTCACCCCGCTATGAGGCGCACATGTGCACTGACCTTACCATGTCATCGCTCCTCGGTTATTTCATGACCATGCTGTATAACCCGAACAATGTCGCGCTAGAGGCTAGTCCCATGACGACGCTTGTTGAACTACGGGTCGGGCAGCAGTTGTGTAAGCTGTTCGGGTACAACACTGATGTGCAGAAATCTCCGGTTTCTTGGGGCCATATTACCTGTGACGGGACGATTGCTAATCTTGAGTCTATCTGGGTTGGTACGTATTCTCATGCTCGTCGTGGTGAAGTGGATGCTAACAAGGGTAGCACGAAACCTCAAGTTTTATCCACTCAGTCTCTGCCTTGCACTGCGACGTGGAAAGCTCCAGTTTATTGGAGACAAGTTCTATGCCAGTCGCTGTTTTCACGCAACCAAGAAGACACTGTTCAAGGATCTCAAAGGATGGGATCTGCTGAATCTCAGCTCTGAGGTTATTCTTGATCTTCCCAATGAGCTGAACAAGCAATTTGGTATTACCAGCAAGTTTCTCGAGAGCGCTCTTAATGAATTCAACATCCAGACCATTGGGCGTGAGGTACTTGAGAGGGAGTTCAAAGTCAAGAACCCGATCAAGTACTTCGTCAGCAAAACGCGCCACTATTCTTGGCCCAAGGGTGTCGGTAAGTTATTTTCCCGCTACATTCAAGCGCCAACGGGTACTGACCTATGCACTCATAGCCATCGCCGGCCTGGGCTCAGGCAACGTGATCGGCGTCGACGTCAACAACGCTGCGCAAATCGACATCAAGGTACTCGAGAAACATCTCGAAGACTGCGTCAAGACCGAAACAGCCGTCTTTGCCGTCGTAGCCATCATCGGATCCACTGAAGAGGGTGCGGTCGACAGACTCACCGAGATCCTCCGTCTTCGTGACAAGTTCCAAGAGGAGCATGGTCTATCTTTCCTCGTCCACGCTGATGCGGCTTGGGGGGGCTACTTTGCCACTATGGTCAATCCTGACCGACGCTACAGCGTTGAGGACCAGGGTTCATCTAAGCCAGAGCCTGAGTGGTACCTGGATCCCAAGACTGTTGAAGACATCAAAGCCATGGCTGAGGCGGATTCGATCACTGTCGATCCACATAAGGCTGGGTATATCCCATATCCTGCTGGGAGCTTGGTCTACAAAGATGGAAGGATGAGGCATCTGGTTACATGGTCCGGCCCGTATCTGTCGCAGGGTTCTGCCGAGAACATCGGTGTCTACGGCGTTGAGGGCAGGTAAGTATCCCGTTAGTCCCAGTATCTGACAGTGACTAAGTCTCTTCTAGTAAACCCGGTGCTTCAGCAATGTCAGCATGGTTCTCCAACTCAACCATCGGCCTCAACCATCATGGATATGGTAAGTTGCTTGGTGAAGCAACCTTTACCAGCGCCAGAGTAAGTCTTCAAACTCCTTCTATCATTCCTCATGTGCTAAGCTCTCTGTAGCTCTCGGCTCACTACGCGACCATGATCAACGACGACTTCATCTGCGTCCCCTTCAACATGCTGGCAGCGGAGAATAACGGCAGTCGAGGGTTCCTCTCCAAGCCCGTTGAGAAACAACGCGACAAGATCCGCGATCTCATCATCGGAAAGAAAGACCACGAGATCTTCGCCTCCAAGGATGCCATGAAGATCATCCGGGATCTCGGTTCCGACACCAACATCAACTGCTTCGCACTCAATTGGAAGGACAAAAATGGTAATCTAAACACTGATCTTGAAGAAGCAAACTATCTCATGAAGCGAGTCGTCGATAGACTTTCCATCACTTCAGCCAATACTGACCCCACCGAAATCCCAATCTTCCTGACATCAACCCAGTTTCTACATGAGGACTATGGCTCTTGCGCTCATAAGTTCATGGAGAGAATGGGAGTCGGAAAGTCAAACCAGAGTCTTTTCGTGATTCGAAACGTGGTCATGAGTCCATTCCCCACTCGACAGAACTTTATTGATAAGTTGATGCATGAGTTTGAGGAAGTTATCCGCGATGAGGTTGGCAAGGTTCGCAAGAGGAATGATCCCGGTCAGAAGAAAGTCCAGTTCCTTGTGCAGAGTACACCTGGCTCCTCCGAGGTGTTCCTGTCGTTCCAGGCTTCGTTCCATAGCGCAACAAAACGGCAGCAGATTATCCTGTCTGCGACTCTTGATAGTACCTTGAGAGACTTTCATAAGGAGCTTACTGGGGGTAATCAGGATAGTATTGTGATGCTTGAGTCGACTGAGAAGGTGTTCATTGAGGATGTTGTCGAGGTACTTGGCGATCTGGATGTCATCATGTACGAGAAGGGAACCAAGTAAGTATCGAGCTCATGATTCATCGTCAGCCAACTAATAGCCTGCAGGAAATACCATCAGAGAGACGGAACCATCACCCTCAACTCAGTAGTCAAGAGCCGCCCTCTCAACTCCATCCACCGCGAAATCGACTACCCCTCCGAATTCATGCCCTTCTACCTCTACGGCAACGAGAAGGAAATCCACTGCTCACACATGCTCGTAAAATCCCCCAATATCTCCCTCGCAGCCAACAACATCACCTTCAACCCCAGCCTCTCCTCAGAGATCAACCATCGCCAATCCGTCGCTGAGCTTCTCGCGGAGGGTATGATCCTTGGCCTTGTCGAAATCCCCGAGGATTCAATGCAGCCCTTCGCTGAGAGGAACCAGGACTTGGCTGAGGAGTTCTTTTTCCGACAAGGCCAGAAGTTCAAGGTCAAGATTTGGAAGGATCCTAAGGATGCTGCTGCTCATGGGCCGGGTTTACTTAAGGATCTTGGAAAGCATCTGTATGAGGGTGAGATGACACTCGGTGAGAATGTGTTTGTGGATGCTGAGGGGCCGAATGAGGATAAGTTGAAGGATAGAAAGGTTGAGTCTGACTCGTGGCAGAGAAAGTTGGATGAGGTTGGAAGCTTATTGGATGGCACTCACGTCAACTGTCAATAATGCTTCACCACCAACAGAGATCATCAGACCAGCTTGAGGGATATGGGTATAGATATCACCTCAACAAATTTGCGTTTTGTCACTATTTGGCCGCTTTAGGCTCCGTGATTGATCTCGATAGCATATCCTTCATAGCCACTGTAAACTCTTCAACCCTGACCATCAAACTCATATGGCTCTCCCCTTTCATGACTCTCAGCTCTGCACCAGGCATGAGCTGAACAGCCTTCTCAGACACCCCAATCGGAACATTGACATCCAAATCTCCATGCCACATTATCATCTTTCCCTTCTCGACTTTGGCATCCTCCAGCTTGAACCCCCAATCACTTCCAAATAATCGAGCTTCCCACGCAGTTGCATATCCGCCCTGCTTCATCGCCTCTCTCGTAGCTCTCCCTAGGGACTTTCTAAAGTCCGGATGAGTCTCCCAAACTTCCTTATCGTTTGCTGATCTGGCACTTATGTCTTTATCCATCATTTGCTCCAACTTTTCTGGGTGCTTGGTGTCTCGCGCTGTGCTACCCAACACTCTATCGGTGATCCAGCCCACGACTCCTGTAGCGTAAGGCGCCACGTTGAACATAAGTCGTGTCATTGTAAGCATTCCT